CTAAGCCTAAGCATAAGCTGCTAAGCCTAGAGCTCAAGCACAAGCCTAAGCTCAAAGCACTAGCCTAAGCTACAAGCTAGCTTCTAAGCCTAAGCCTAAGCCTAAGCAAAACCTAAGCTTCTAAGCCTAAGCTTTAAGCTCAAGCCTAAGCTTAAGCCTAAGCCTAAGCCTCAAGCATAAGCCTAAGCCTAAGCCTAAGCTAAGCCTAAGCCTAAGCCTAAGCCTAAGCCTAAGCCTAGGACAAAGCCTAAGCCTAAGCCTAAGCCTAAGCCTAAGCTAAGCCTAAGCTAAAACTTAAGCCTATTAGCCTAAGCCTAAGCCTAAGCCTAAGCCTAAGCCTAAGCTCAAGCCTAAGCCACAAGCCTAAGCCACAAGCCTAAGCCTAAGCCTACAAGCCTAAGCCTAAGCACAAGCCTAAGCTTAAGCCTAAGCCTAAGCCTAAGCCTAAGCCTACAAGCCTAAGCCTAAGCCTACAAAGCCTAAGCCTAAGCATAAGCCTAAGCCTAAGCCTAAGCCTAAGCCTAAGCCTAAGCCTAAGCTAAGCCTAAGCATAAGCCTAAGCCTAGCCTAAGCCTAAGCCTAAGCCTAAGCCTAAGCCTACAGCCTAAGCCTAAGCCTAAGCCCTAAGCCTAAGCTAAGCTTAAGCCTAAGCCTAAGCCTAAGCCTAAGCCTAAGCAAGCCTAAGCTTAAGCTAAGCCTAAGCCTAGCCTAGACTAAGCCTAAGCCTAAGCCTAAGCCCAAGCCTAAGCTACCAAGCCTAAGCCTAAGCCTAAGCCTAAGCCTAAGCCTAAGCCTAAGCCTAAGCCTAAGCCTAAGCCTAAGCCTAAGCCTAAGCCTAAGCCTAAGCCTAAGCCTAAGCTACAAGCCTAAGCCTAAGCCTAAGCCTAAGCCTAAGCCTAAGCCTAAGCCTAAGCCTAAGCCTAAGCCTAAGCCTAAGCCTAAGCCTAAGCCTAAGCCTAAGCCTAAGCCTAAGCCTAAGCCTAAGCCTAAGCCTAAGCCTAAGCCTAAGCCCGCTAAGCCTAAGCCCAGGCCTAGCCTAAGCCTAGCCTAAGCCTAAGCCTAAGCCTAAGCCTAAGCCTAAGCCTAAGCCTAAGCCTAAGCCTAAGCCTAAGCCTAAGCCTAAGCCTAAGCCTAAGCCTAAGCCCAAGCCTAAGCCTAAGCCTAAGCCCAAGCCTAAGCCTAAGCCTAAGCCTAAGCCTAAGCCTAAGCCTAAGCCTAAGCCTAAGCCTAAGCCTAAGCCTAAGCCTAAGCCTAAGCCTAAGCCCAAGCCTAAGCCTAAGCCTAAGCCCAAGCCTAAGCCTAAGCCTAAGCCCCAAGCCTAAGCCTAAGCCTAAGCCTAAGCCTAAGCCTAAGCCCAAGCCTAAGCCTAAGCCTAAGCTCAAGCCTAAGCTCAAGCCTAAGCCTAAGCCCCAAGCCTAAGCCCAAGCCTAAGCCTAAGCCTAAGCCTAAGCCTAAGCCTAAGCCTAAGCCTAAGCCTAAGCCTAAGCCCAAGCTCCAAGCCTAAGCCTAAGCCTAAGCCCAAGCCCCAAGCCTAAGCCTAAGCCCCAAGCCTAAGCCTAAGCCTAAGCCCAAGCCTAAGCCTCAAGCCTAAGCCCAAGCCTAAGCCTAAGCCTAAGCCTAAGCCTAAGCCTAAGCCTAAGCCTAAGCTAAGCCTAAGCCTAAGCCTAAGCCTAAGCCTAAGCCTAAGCCTAAGCCTAAGCCTCAAGCCCAAGCCTAAGCCTAAGCCTAAGCCTAAGCCCAAGCCTAAGCCTAAGCCTAAGCCTAAGCCTAAGCCTAAGCCTAAGCCTAAGCCCCAAGCCTAAGCCTAAGCCCAAGCCCCAAGCCCCAAGCCTAAGCCTAAGCCTAAGCCTAAGCCCCAAGCCTAAGCCTAAGCCTAAGCCTAAGCCTAAGCCTAAGCCTAAGCCTAAGCCTAAGCTCCCAAGCCTAAGCCTAAGCCTAAGCCTAAGCCTAAGCCTAAGCCTAAGCCTAAGCCTAAGCCTAAGCCTAAGCCTAAGCCTAAGCCTAAGCCTAAGCCTAAGCCTAAGCCTAAGCCTAAGCCTAAGCCTAAGCCTAAGCCTAAGCCTAAGCTAAGCCTAAGCCTAAGCCTAAGCCCAAGCCTAAGCCTAAGCCTAAGCCTAAGCCTAAGCCTAAGCCTAAGCCTAAGCCTAAGCCTAAGCCTAAGCCTAAGCCTAAGCTCCAAGCCTAAGCCTAAGCCTAAGCCTAAGCCTAAGCCTAAGCCTAAGCCTAAGCCTAAGCCTAAGCCTAAGCCTAAGCCTAAGCCTAAGCCTAAGCCTAAGCCTAAGCCTCAAGCCTAAGCCTAAGCCTAAGCCTAAGCCTAAGCCTAAGCCTAAGCCTAAGCCTAAGCCTAAGCCTAAGCCTAAGCCCCCAAGCCTAAGCCTAAGCCTAAGCCTAAGCCTAAGCCTAAGCCTAAGCCTAAGCCTAAGCCTAAGCCTAAGCCTAAGCCTAAGCCTAAGCCTAAGCCTAAGCCTAAGCCTAAGCCTAAGCCTAAGCCTAAGCCTAAGCCTAAGCCTAAGCCTAAGCCTAAGCCTAAGCCTAAGCCTAAGCCTAAGCCTAAGCCTAAGCCTAAGCCTCAAGCCTAAGCCTAAGCCCAAGCCTAAGCTTCCAAGCCTAAGCCTAAGCCTAAGCCTAAGCCTAAGCCTAAGCCTAAGCCTAAGCCTAAGCCTAAGCCTAAGCCTAAGCCTAAGCCCAAGCCTAAGCCTAAGCCTAAGCCTAAGCCTAAGCCTACCCAAGCCTAAGCCTAAGCCTAAGCCTAAGCCTAAGCCTAAGCCTAAGCCTAAGCCTAAGCCTAAGCCTAAGCTCCAAGCCTAAGCCTAAGCCTAAGCCTAAGCCTAAGCCTAAGCCCAAGCCTAAGCCTAAGCCTAAGCCTAAGCCTAAGCCTAAGCCTAGCTTCCAAGCCTAAGCCTAAGCCTAAGCCTAAGCCTAAGCCTAAGCCTAAGCCTAAGCCTAAGCCTAAGCCCAAGCCTAAGCCTAAGCCTAAGCCTAAGCCTAAGCCTAAGCCTAAGCCTAAGCCTAAGCCCAAGCCTAAGCCTAAGCCCCAAGCCTAAGCCTCAAGCCTAAGCCTAAGCCTAAGCCTAAGCCTAAGCCTAAGCCTAAGCCTAAGCCTAAGCCTAAGCCTAAGCCTAAGCCTAAGCCTAAGCCTAAGCCTAAGCCTAAGCCCAAGCCTAAGCCTAAGCCTAAGCTCCAAGCCTAAGCCTCAAGCCTAAGCCTAAGCCTAAGCCTAAGCCTAAGCCTAAGCCTAAGCCCAAGCCTAAGCCTAAGCCTAAGCCTAAGCCTAAGCCTAAGCCTAAGCCTAAGCCTAAGCCTAAGCCTAAGCCTAAGCCTCAAGCCTAAGCCTAAGCCTAAGCCTAAGCCTAAGCCTAAGCCTAAGCCTAAGCCTAAGCCTAAGCCTAAGCCTAAGCCTAAGCCTAAGCCTAAGCTCCAAGCCTAAGCCTAAGCCCAAGCCTAAGCCTAAGCCTAAGCCTAAGCTCCAAGCCTAAGCCTAAGCCTAAGCCTAAGCCTAAGCCTAAGCCTAAGCCTAAGCCTAAGCCTAAGCCTAAGCCTAAGCCTAAGCCTAAGCCTAAGCCTAAGCCTAAGCCTAAGCCTAAGCCTAAGCCTAAGCCTAAGCCCAAGCCTAAGCCTAAGCCTAAGCCCAAGCCTAAGCCTAAGCCTAAGCCTAAGCCTAAGCCTAAGCCTAAGCCTAAGCCTAAGCCTAAGCCTAAGCCTAAGCCTAAGCCTCCAAGCCTAAGCCTAAGCCTCAAGCCTAAGCCTAAGCCTAAGCCTAAGCCTAAGCCTAAGCCTCCAAGCCTAAGCCTAAGCCTAAGCCTAAGCCTAAGCCTAAGCCTAAGCCTAAGCCTAAGCCTAAGCCTAAGCCTAAGCCTAAGCCTAAGCCTAAGCCTAAGCCTAAGCCTAAGCCTAAGCCTAAGCCTAAGCCTAAGCCTAAGCCTAAGCCTAAGCCTAAGCCTAAGCCTAAGCCTAAGCCTAAGCTTCCAAGCCTAAGCCTAAGCCTAAGCCTAAGCCTAAGCCTAAGCCTAAGCCTAAGCCTAAGCCTAAGCCTAAGCCTAAGCCTAAGCCTAAGCCTCCAAGCCTAAGCCTAAGCCTAAGCCTAAGCCTAAGCCTAAGCCTAAGCCTAAGCCTAAGCCTAAGCCTAAGCCTAAGCCTAAGCCTAAGCCTAAGCCTAAGCCTAAGCCTAAGCCTAAGCCTAAGCCTAAGCCTAAGCCTAAGCCTAAGCCCTAAGCCTAAGCCTAAGCCTAAGCCTAAGCCTAAGCCTAAGCCTAAGCCTAAGCCTAAGCCTAAGCCTAAGCCTAAGCCTAAGCCTAAGCCTAAGCCTAAGCCTAAGCCTAAGCCTAAGCCTGGCTGCTGTATCTTTCGATCCCAGTCATTGATGCATTAAAGGCACACTAACCGGAATCATACAGGGTGGGCCAAAAAAAAAGAGAGGCTTGGGCCCAATTAGCTCGAGAACGGTAACGAATCCATGGTGCGTTGATGGCTGAAAACCATTTTCTCGGCCTCGAGAGTAGATTTAGGCCAACTTGATTTTTTCGATTTTTTTTTAGTACGGAACTGTACTATTGGCGCTGGTTACGACCGAAAATTGTGCGTAACGCGTGGTGGGGAAACTCTGATTTTTGGCCGATGCAATGGAGAACCGGAATCATAGATGCAGGTACCCTGACAAAAGCAGCCAGTGTCGCTGATTCTGCTCATTCACCAACATTGCTCGGACGCAGACGGGCTCACCAGTTAAAATAAAAATTCACGGCATTTTTAGGGAAAACTTTTCCAAACCCTTTTTATACTTTCCTGAAAACGGTGTTGGAAAGGGCCTGTAGAATTATGCAGCTCTGGTTTATGATCGCAGCTCGTTCGAATGTTCTTCATGAAGCGATGACGATTTATTCGGAAAATGTCAACTTTTTGGCCAAGATCAATTGATTGCCAACAAAAATAGAGATCGCAAATAGATACACCAATGCCCACAACATCATATTCTACAGCGTTTGTGAAAACAGAATGAATCAATTCGAGGATAAGAGCAGCTGATCCCAGTCAATCGGTCCCGAAAATACTTCCTTTTCCAGCCATGCCTCGTAGTTGTCCATCCAACTAAAAAAAAAGATTATTCAATTGCGCCAGGCAGTCTTCGCTTTTGGTACTGTTCTGTTTGGCCGGGGGCAAAAATCTATCCCCTATGCAAATTCAGAAAATTTTTGCATGCCTCTTTTATTTTACATTTATTTCTTCTTCACTTTATGCAAATTTAAAATTGCCCAAAAATCAATCAAAGAGGCTTTAACTTATATTTTATATAAAATTTGTTATCAAAATTCTGAAAACGCCATCGGTAACATAAGGGCCGATTCCGCCAAGTGACAAAGAATCAGGGCATTTTATGCACCGGAAGGGCCTCAAATCGGGCCTGAAATCGCATTGAGAACACCTCCCAAAAATAGCGAAAATATCCAAAAACCTCCTGCTGCTTTGCGCCCGGCCAAATGGAACAATACCTCACTTTTTTATAAAGGATCAAAAAGCAGCTTACCTGGATTCCGGTTCGAATTTTTCCGCAGCCAGCACAGAGTGTATGCAGTAATCATTGGCCACGTATTCAAGCGGGTCCCAGCGGTCCAAATAATCGTCGCCGTAAGCTTGGTCCTCGCCTTGTTCTATAATCCCACGTGCTTGCAACAAATGGTTAAACAAACCGACGGCAAATGCCGGGTAGAGCTTGGAATAGCGTCTGGAGTTGAAGCGTTCTATCAACACCTTCAACGATTGCTCATCGGCCTGAAAAAAAAACGTAATTGACTTCAAGCGGGGATGACCAACCTGGAAATCCCAAGACTTGGACCGAGAATCGTTGGCAAACGCCCAATCATCGATGAGCCTAGATAATGAACATGATAGGGAAAGATGAGACGACGTACCGATGGCGGACGGAACAATAGATGGCCGAGATAATGTCCATATTCGTTCGTCGCCATTGCCTTCCCAGAAATCGGGCCTGCATCTTCAGCAATTTCAGCGTATATAGCTGCAGGATTGGCTGAAATCGAGAAGATAACGGTCGGCAAGGCCACAACAAACCACTCGTATCTTCAGACATCGCTTCAGAATTGGGGCACTTTTGAACACGACGAGCATCATATTCCTCGCGTGTTTGCCCTTCGTCAATTTATTCAATATTCGCACCATGTTGACGGCGCTGAAACAATGCTTGAGAAAGATTCTGTCAGCAGAGGGGATACCTGAAAATGTTCCGCCAAAGGAAATAGCCGTGCGCTGGCACTTCAGCCTCGATATTGTCAACGCCGAGCGTAGGAAACGTCTCTAAAATCGGCGTCTTTGAAAGGGGAAGCCAGTAAGGAATTCTACGCGAATCCAACAAAAATAAATTACCCGAATTGCGCGCCCAGTAGAGGGCACAGTATGGATAGTTATAGGGACGGAGTTCGTGTCTTGACTGCACATATCGGATCATATTTTGGTCGAGAAAACGTAGCATCAACGGGATCCCATTGCCGTAAATCTAGGAGAAACAAAAATTATCGGTTGAAATCAAGGATACTAATTGCTGGGCGAATGCTTCAAATTGGTAGACATGGTTGAGGCGGAAATGCTTCAACATCAAAATGATGATCCCGGACGCGGCTTTCACAATGATCTGCAAAGAAAAATGATGGCAGGCGAGAAATAACGAAAAAACTTAAAAACCACGGCGGGAACGGAAAGTTTTCTCGTTGCGAAAAACAATACCTCTTTGTGACGATGGATATCAATGGCCAACCGGACACTCTCCTCCAATGGATTCGTGCCGCTACGATCAAGTGACATTGATGAGGATAGAACATCAGCCGTATCCGTTTCTGGCGTCAACACATCACACATTATATTCACAGCTTCATTCTTCGCTTGCAGCACCTAGGATAGTTTATTTTGTAGAAATATATGTAGCTATTCAAGTTGGGGGGGGACAAAATTATTTTTGGACTAGGCTTCAATTTATTTAAGCTTAGCTTCGCTTTGCATGTGGTTAGCCCAGCCTGTAACTTAGGCTTAGTCTAGACCTAGCTTAGTCCTAACTTCGGCTTTGTTTAGGCTAGGCTTAGGCCACGCTGGGGTTGGTTAGCGTATCTTTCAGAGCAGCTTAGGCCGGTAAGAGGCTAAAAAACTCCCCCCCCAACTTCAATAGCTCCAACGCTACAATGCACCAGAATACCTTCGAGTTTGGCGCGGCAGCCAGCAGAACTTTCAGCAGGGCAACCACATAGTTGACCATGTTTGGCAGAAGGGCACGGTAGAACATCTCCACCTAGAATTTCAAATACAGATAGTTTTCAGATTGTAAACCAACCTTGCTCAACTCGACCTCTTCTTTCACGGTTAGCTTGTAACGATGGTAGACGTCCTCGCGCTCGAGCTAGAAAACCAACTAGCCTTTAAAAAAAGCACCAATCTCGCACCTGAATATCACTGATCGACGTATAGAGATGATCTTGCAAGACCTTGAGCCCGCGCACGATATGGGCCGGAAGACCGACATGTGTCTCCAAATCCCCAGCAAGCTCATACCTAACAATAGGTGGACAAGTAAAACAAAGGTTACCGTAGATATTTATTGCGAGCCGTCTGCAAAAAGCAATCGATATCTTCCTTGCGCGCCTTACTCCTCCACGGCAACTAAGAAAGAAACCATCGACCACGTTTATCAACAAAAATATACCCTTCGCATGGGAATGTGTACAGGTGAGGAAGCGATCGGCGTCCGTTCACCCGAATCATCCTTCGGCAGGCCACCAGTTCTTTCTAAATTGAAAAAAAAAATGGAAATCAATTCGCATTCGTACCGGACAAGGCCGGCGAAGGGGTTTCATCCTCAATTGGGGTCGTTGCTAAACGAAAATAGTTATCGAGGAAAGAGATTATCATACACGATAGCCCAAGGATGTCAGACTCGGCGGATTCATCGCCCTCGAGCCCCGTATAGGCCATTTGTCGACCGAGACGCCCGGGCACACTTCGCCGTGGTCGGGATCCACCTGGAAATAAATTAATTACAACAAATTGCATGTTTATCTCACCATTAAAGCCAGTATCTCCATCATTAATGACACAAGTCCGCATGAAGTGGGCTATTTCAAGGGTGTCTTCCGTCGCATACAACCCATGTTTTGCACGGACTTCGCTCTTTTTTTTGTGGAGAAACGCAGAATCACCAAACGTGGCCAGCAGAATTTTCCAGGTGAGCAGGAAGGCCTGTAAGCATCATTTTAGATATCGGCAACAATGATGTCCCATTTCTCACCCTAGCTAGTGTGGTTTGAGCCGGGCCTGATCACCGAAATGAATACCTTTTTAACCGGAATATGCGGAGACGTGCCGTTATAAAATGGAGTCATCATATCGCACATTATAATCAGCAGGGAACGGTCCGATGACGGAATCGGGTGATCTAAGAAAGCGACATCCGAAACCATGCCCGCAAAATACCTAATTCATCTAAGAAGTTGATCCTGACGCGGCGCAGATATGCTCTTGTCTCGGCAGTCTCACTTATCACGTCTACCAGTTCTTCGCGTCTACAAATAGCCGTTTAACCAGACAAAAAAAAAGTCAGAGCTCACCTGATGGTTTCTACCAAATGATACAAGCCCGCAAGAATGGCACGTAACGATTCGTTGTCGGCCAGGTTGGCGCTTCTCTTCTTCTTGCCTATAAAAAGATATCGGTGCAAACGATCGAAACTACCGCTCTCGCTCAAATCCGACGTTGAGGCTCGATGATTCGAGGAGAAGCTCGCCTAAAATCGAGTTCAGTTTGCGTCTTGATACGGTCAGCCATCGCAAAAGTTGTTTGGAAGCCACTCTCATTTAAAAAACCGCGATGTTAAAACTTGTCAAACCTTGCTTTCGCGGCCATCATTGCATCCGACAGGTTCGTATGGAACTTCCAATTCAAAGAGCAGCATTGACACTAATGGTCCGAAAAGCCCCGTCTCGGCTGCCAAATACGAATTCCGTGCTGCTTGCATTAAGCACTCCTTCTCGTTCAGGGGAGCTAGAAAAAAAAGGTTGAAATTGTGATACAGCCTACCAGGATTCGAAGTAGTGTTATTCACTTGTTCGCCATCATCATCGTCAAAGTCCATATAAGCGCCCTGAAAACTCAACATCAAACAATTCTAAAGACAGCTACCTGTAAGACGTAGAGAACGGCACGAAGAGCCAGAAAGCGCTCCTCGGGGACAGCACTTTCCATTTGGGCCATGAGTGCTGTCAGCAAATTGATTTGTTTTTGGCGGCCGAGGTCACAAAACGATAAGCTGGACAGTACGTTCAAGCCCTGGCAAAAAAAAGTAAGGAAAGACTCTCAAAATAACCTCGGTGTTCTCCAGAAACGTTCGATATGCCACAGCGTTTGAGGCAAAATCCTCCATTTCAGAGTAAGAGTAGAGCTCAGCCAGCTCATTCTCGTAGTCGTCTGCATCGGCGTAGGAAAAGCCGAGATCGCCTAGTTCCGCCTCAAAATGACATGGTATACAAACTCTCTCAATTCGCTGACCGGCATTTCGTTTTCCTTCTCATTTTTCGAGGGCCCATCGTCATTTTTCAAATTGTTGAGCTTTGGGAGGACGGCCGATCTAGATAAATGCAGTTTTTGAACCAGAAAAAAGAAAGATACCGTCGTTGCGCCAATGACGATTCGGACATTTCCGCAACAACTGCCGCGCTCCTCTCTCCAGCTCCGGATCCATAAACTAAAAAAGAAGCATACATGTAGAAAAAAATGTTCAACATACCATCTTCCGCAAAATTTGGGCGCACGGCTCGGCGCTCTTCCATATGAATTTAGATGCTGTAAATTGTTAAGGTGAAACAATTGTGAAGCCAAAAGAGAAAACGGAAGCGATTCACCGCAGCACAATAGTGAGAAGCTTTGAGTTCCGACATTTTGGTTATATGCATTCGGGGGAGGGGGAAAGGAGGGTCTTTAGAAGAGCAGGGTGGAGCAATTTGCCGTCTAAATTTAAGCATTGTTTTATAAAATAAAGTTGCTCAATGCGCGCTATATCAATTGCATTGGTGGCACCGAGTAATCGAGCCCAACCGAGCTGATTCCGTTTTTTCCATTGACCGTCTGTATTCTGCCACTTCGCTGCTTCTTTGTTTTCCTTGTCGGCAATTTCCTGTTTCGCACTTTGTAAAGCATTTCACAGCAATAATGTTTATTCCCAATCACTAAATTAAATTGATTTTAACGTTTGAGGGCTTCTTTCACTTCCGAGGGCTTTCACTTAGGCGACGGCTTCGTCACCTGGGTCGTCGAGCACTAAATGGGCGAATAAAAAGGCGCCGGAGGGTACCTTGATATCGATGACGATGCCCGACTCGCGGCCACTATCCTCGTTTTCCAACGATTTCACGTTGCGCATCGTGTCGTCGTCTTCCAGCTAAAAGCGTATTGAATGGTACATTCTCTTGCACTGATTCTACCGGCGGGGTGATCCTGAACCCAAGCGTCTGCTCCTGCGGGCTGAAACCAGTCGATGTTCACCGTTTTATTCTCTTTATTACTTGGCCGGGTCCACTGTCAGTGGCGATGGCTGTGGTGGCTCGCTTTGCGAAGTCGTGCTCTGAGAACTTGTCACTGCTGAAAAAACCATTTTCAGAACCCTTTTTTGGCGCCTACATTTTGTATTGCTCATCTGGCTCGAATACAGCTAGAGAATAGACGAAAGGAAAGAGTAGACGATGACGACGAGAAAATGCTTTGATTTTCCTGTATTTCTGTTCTCGCTTCCTTTGATTTGCTCCTCGGATGCAAATTTTTTCAGGTCCGCGATGATAACACGTCTAACAAGACCGATCATCAGCGGCTGTTCAAACTTGGTTTGTATTCTCGTATTTACGACCACCCAATGACTTGTTTCGAATTTTACACTGCCTAAATTATGTTTGTTTTTCAGCATAAACGGCTATGCTCGGCGGCAGCCAACTCGTCCATCCAGCACACCCTACGCGTGGCTGAACAAATCGAGAAGAAACGAGCGGCGGTTAGTATTTTCCCTTATTGTACGGGGCGGGCCCTTGAGATGTTGATCTTCTCCCATTCCAGGCGTTGCTCGGTGGCGGTCAAGCCCGAATCGACGCTCAACACAAGCGTGGAAAGCTGACTGCCCGCGAGCGGGTCAATTTGCTGCTGGATAAAGGTAAATTTTATTCACCTCGATTTAATTGTTTCCTTCAGGGACGTTTCGCGAGTATGACATGTTTGCCGAGCATACATGCACAGAGTTTGGCATGGAAAAAGAGAAGGTACGCCTCATTTCTGGATTTGATGAACTTTATGGCTCAGTATGCCGGTGATTCTGTGGTGACGGGCCGTGGAGAGATTTCCGGGCGCACAGTGTTTGTCTTTTCTCAGGTATTTTGTTTATTTCTGATGTTTTGCGGTGAGACGCGGCTAACTAGGACGTAATGCATTAAACCCTAATTTCTAGGATTTTACCGTGTTCGGCGGATCCCTTTCATCGGTGCATGCGCGCAAGGTCTGCAAGATTATGGATGAGGCGATGCGTGTCGGCGCGCCAGTGATCGGGCTCAATGATTCTGGCGGTGCCCGCATCCAAGAGGGCGTCGAATCTCTCGCAGGATATGCCGATATTTTCCAGGTTTAGTTCTCGTCGTTTCCTTTCAAATTTTTTTAGCGCAACGTGCTCGCTTCTGGCGTCGTCCCTCAGATTTCGATGATTATGGGTCCATGTGCTGGTGGGGCTGTCTATTCCCCCGCGCTCACCGACTTCACGTTTATGGTAAGCTAATTTCCGTGTTACCAGGACTGTGTTTTGTAGCTAAATGCTCTCCTATATATCAGTGACTTCGCTTCACCAATTTTTTAGGTTAGGGACTCTTCTTACCTCTTCATCACTGGGCCCGAAGTCGTCAAGGCCGTAACGAATGAAGAGGTGACGCAAGAAGAACTCGGTGGAGCAAAGACGCACACGACAACCTCCGGTACGTTTTGTTGTACTTTAGTCTTATAGGCCGTTGCATTTCGATGATGTATTCACTCTCCTCTCTAGGAAATTGCCGTTTTTAGGTGTCGCCCACGGGGCCTTCGAAAATGACGTGGATGCTCTGATGTCGCTTCGCGAGTTGTTCAACTATCTTCCGCTATCGAACAAGGACGCCTCTCCTATCCGAGCCGTTGATGATCAATGGGATAGGTCTGTGCACTCGCTTAGGCTTAGGCTTCGTCTGCCCGGTTGACTGACTCTCGAAAAACTGATTTTCAAACTGAAAGTGCAGCCTTGTCGTTTCCTGATTTTCTTTTTTGGCGATCAACCGAAAACCTCATTTTTAGAGAAGTCAAATCGCTCGACACCGTTGTCCCGTTGGAAAGCACGGCTGCATACAACATGAAAGACGTTGTAACTGCTTTGGTGAGTTGAATTCCCCTGCCCTCTCTACTGTCCGGAGTTTTAGGTGGATGAGGGCGACTTCTTCGAGATCATGCCCGAATATGCCAAGAACCTGGTCATCGGATTCGCCCGGATGAATGGCCGGACCGTGGGAATCGTGGGAAACAACCCAAAATTCGCCGCTGGTTGTCTGGATATAAATTCTTCTGTCAAGGTATGTCTCATTTTTATTGAAAATTTTGCCTGGGCCGTATCGCTTTCATGTGTGGCTGAGCATCTATCTCGATTTCCTATCATTTTTTGGAAAATCAAACATCGCGAAAGTTTAGTATCTGGAAAATGCGCTGTATTAGATTGCAGCCAGAAATGATAAATTTCGTCAGGAAAACTGCTAAGAAGGTCGTGATACTGAACTTTCGAGATGTTCGAGATATCTCAACTTTTTCATTTCAGGGTGCGCGCTTCGTCCGTTTCTGTGATGCATTCAACATTCCATTGATCACCCTGGTCGACGTGCCCGGCTTCCTGCCAGGCAACCCAGAATTTCCTTACTAATGGCCCGTTTTAGGCACAGCCCAGGAATACGGCGGCATCATTCGTCATGGCGCCAAGCTGCTCTATGCTTTCGCCGAGGCCACCGTGCCCAAGATTACGGTTTGTTTTACAAGGCGACCGTTTTACTGTCGTCGGGGTTTCGAATCGTGACCGAGCCTAGCTTGTGCAGAATTTTGCGCTGGCTCCGGGTTTGCGGAATTGCCATCTGCAGAACGTCAGGAAAACTGCAGAAAGTCGCATTTTGCGCGTTTCTCGGTCTTAGCTTCGACACAGCTTTGGTCGTCATAAGATCGCGGTTCGGTGACCATATTCGCAATCAGCGCATGATTCTGCACAGGATAGGCTCCGTCCCGTCTCGAAAGTGGGATGTTACTTAAAAAAATTAACGTTTTTAGTATAATGCTTTTTAGATTATCACACGCAAAGCTTATGGTGGAGCCTATGACGTGATGTCGAGCAAGCATTTGAGGTAAAATATTTGCCGATTATGACAATTGAATATTTGCAGGGGAGACAGGAACTATGCGTGGCCATCTGCTGAGGTGGCGGTCATGGGGGCAAAGGTATGCTCGACAATACGTTGTTTCAAAAATGTTCATTTCCAGGGTGCCGTCCAGATCCTGTTCCGCAAGGACAAGGCCAATCACGCGAAACACGAGGCCGAATATATTGAGCTGTTCGGCAACCCCTTCCCAGCGGCAGTTAGGTAGCAATTTTAACCCACTTTTTAGTCGTTTTCTGGTATGTAGCGTATATAAACCTTGTTGCAGGGGCTTCGTCGACGACATCATCGTCCCATCAACGACGCGTCGCCGTATCTGCGAAGACTTGAATCTGCTCGAGTCGAAGAAAGTCAAGAATCCGAAGCGAAAGCACGGAAACATTCCCCTTTAGAATCATAAACAGAAACTGGTACTCTTTCTTTTGTTTCATAGCCCAATGCATTTGACTTGCAGCTAGTGATTGTGATATGTCGTTCGTTTATACTGTTTCTTTTGGCATGATAATAAAGGTTTGCTGGTGCTGACAAACGATGATTTCTTGAACATGGTAATCATTCCGAGGGCCTTGTTGCAAAAACCAGTTCGGATGCGATCTGTTTCATTTTTCACATATAACATCGGCTTTTATTATGAACATTATCACAGTCGTGTTATCACGTTGATTTCCGTCCTTCGCTTGATCGTACCGCGGCCCTCATTTCCATTTAGCTCCCTAAATTACCGATTAAGGTAGTTGCTAGAAATTGTTACCGAATTGTTAAGTGCGGCGAGAGCTTTGTAGTGGTCAGAAGAATGCGGGGGAAGCTTATTCGTATAGACCTCCAAACGTTGACGTTCCTTCATTTGTTGCGTACACTCGATTACCACCTAGCGGAAGGGGTCTCTTAGAAAGTAAAGCAACGTACCTCGGTGGCCATATATTTTTCGGCTAACATTAGACGCTCTTCGGGGGTGGGCAACGAGCGGAGGAGACGACAGATCAACTAAGATAACCCGTATTGTTAGTTCGGTAACAGATACTCACATCTTTTGGCGGCTGACCGCTCTCGGCGTGAATTAGTCGCATCAGCTGATCCATCGGGATGTAATTCGACTTGAGATTCGCCCCTGTTGAGCGCGTGATGGCGCCAATCAAACCCCGGGGGCTCAGCGATCGTTCTAAAAAATGTAGATTAGCGCAAGCAAAAACTCCCCAAATACCACGTTTCCTATGTGGCTAGAAAAGACTCACCAACGTCAGGCCATCTGTTCTGCTTTACCAACGCGCCAACGGATACCCAGACTAATTGCTTCTCGTTGAGACCACATAGATCTTGGATTTGTTGAGGGGAATCAGGGGATGTCTAAAGAGAAGAGGTGAATATGTAAATGTGCAAACCGGCGGCGAATCATAGTGATACAAGCATGCGTAGTAGAGCGTATGAATGGCTGGCTGACCGAGCAGAGGAGCATGCCTCGGGAAATCCGTGAATTTCTTGGAACGATCTGTCGAGTCGGCCACCTGAGGATGAGAAGATTTTTTGGTACGATTCTATTTGGCCGGAGGCAAAACAGTAGAGGGATTTTGCTCTATTTTCGCTATTTTAACAGAACAACGACAAAAAATCGACCGAAAATGGGATTGAGATGCTATTTTTCGATATTTTGAAGACGCCATTCGCTAGAGCGTCCAAAAATTAGAAAACTGCTAGTTTCAATTTCGGCCCGGATTAATAAAAAATGGCCAAGTAGAACCGCACGGATTGTTTTGTTTTATGTTATCTAGCCCCTCGCAAGTGTAGCATTGGCCAAATCAATGTTTACCTCAATCTGCTGTTGCCGATCGACAATATTGATGTATCGGTGAATCTGCGTCTGTTCTGCGCTCAGCCTTGGATCGAGAAACGAGGCAACCAACGCCTTCTTCAGCTGGGCCATCCTTTGATGTACCGTCTTAGCCCCCATTGCCAATTTGAAGTCGTACATTGCTGCGTCGGCAGTACGGCCCATTACACTGGAGAAGGCATTGATAACTGATTAAGCGAACATACTTGAAAACATTAGTCAGTTCCTCCGTTGTTCCCCAATCTTTCAAATACTGCACATATTCTTCCGCCGCTTCTGGTCGTTCCAATAGGACTTCTCGAAATATGGCTTCAGAGACCGTTCGCTGGATGTAGATCACGACCTAAGAATCGGTTATCCCAAAAAGATGTATATTACCGCCAATATTACGTTGCCATCGACAAAACTGATTGCCGCGTCGAGTAGGGCGAGCTTGTCCTTCTTCGATCTAGCGAAAAGGGTAGATTTTGATCAAATTAACTGACTTACTTATAAAGATCCAGCGATACAGGCTCGTTTTTGAATAAACGCCCAATCGTCTCGCTAATATCGGGCGGACGAAAACGGTCAGCGCGTAGGGCCTAAAATGCAGAGAGTGAGGAACCTTTTTCTGCCTTCCAAAACCTTGAAATAACCAAGTCTAACAATTTACCTCACAATGTCGCTGTAATTTCCGGTGTTCAGCGCGTAGCCTCGAAAAGTCGAGATCGAGTTGTTGGGATTCGGAAGGAAGGGATGAAAAGCTGCATTCAGAGGGCGCTATCGACACATTGGAAACGTCTTTTCGAAGCTCAGGCTAAAGAGGAAGCTCAATCTAAGTCCTAGTTCATACCTCGTTGAGCATAAATTTTGGAGTGGGCCGTTCCCCTCGACCTTGATAGCCGGAACCATGCTGGTATCTAAACAAAATTATCCAAGCGTGCCTCAAATACGTTACCTATTCGGATCGGGTGGTTGTTGAGGTCGAGCGGTACTTGTCGTAGGCTTTGGTGTGTTCACTTGGGCTGGTCTTGGTGTTTCTGCAAAGAGATCGTCGAGGGCCACGCGCGCAGATTCCTAAATCTCAAACAATAAACGGACCGGAAGCATGACTGTGAAAGCTGAAGAATAGAACGAGTCAAAGTTTTAAGCAAAGAACTAAGGCGCACCTGCTTTGAACGAATATCATCAAAAATCGATGAAGCCGCGGATCCATTTTCATTCCAGTAGCTGTCTTGGGGGTCATCAAAGTTAAATCGATTATGATAGGCCATAAACCCTAGAAAATAGGTTTTTAGAACTTTTAGAGTGTCAAAAACACAATAGAATGCATTATAGAACGTTTCTGCAACTTATTTTAGTGCTGAAAACGATGTTTGCAAGCAACAATGTTATCAGTATCGCGGCGGAACCACATTCACATAATAATCATTTAGACGATTTAGAAAAGTTCTTTTGCTTTTTTGGTTCCATTTTCTGTAGTCGTCTTTCTTATATTTGCTGTCTGAGCTATCCTACATATCTCTAAAAACCTTATAAACATATTTTTTGGTCTGAGAATTGGTACATTTGAGGCTGTATTCGACGGCGTAATGACGTGTAAAAGTACTGTGTTTGGTGAGAGGATCGGGCGGTGCTTGGGGCAGTGATGTCTCGCACTTCGTCTATCGCTTTCTCTCGTTTCTCGCGTCTGTCTCCGCTCTGGCCCTGTTTCTCTCCAGCTTCTTCCCGCTCTGAAAAGGCCCAAAATCCTCGATCCATTGGCCCATCATGCCCCAGCTCCGCTCGATCTTATTTCTCAGCGAGACGCAAGTTGATTTTTACGCTTTGATCTCGCCCCGGAAATGGATTTTCTGGTTTTGCTTCTTCTTCTCCGTTTTAGCTCAGTTTCCTTGGACATATTGCCGGTTTTTAATATGGTTTTCTTTTTTTGTCCTTTCAGGCTAAATTTCATTTTTGAGGGTAAAAATGCTTGGTCCCCGGGCGGCCTCTCTGACGCGAACGTCTCTCTCTCGAACGGCTTCCGTCTCGTTGCGAAGGGTAATTGTCAAAACCTTGTTGTACGTAAAAGTTTCCAATTTAGGGCGTCGCCTCTCGTGCAGCGGTTCCGCTGTCTTGTGAGTTATATTTGTTCATTATATTGCTGTTGCTTGCCGCGATCGTCAGCGAACTGCTTTTATTTTCTTTTTTTAGGCAGCCAAAAGCTTGTCTTCCCGAAGCAAATCCAGGGAGTCAGCGTGGTCCCCGAGCGCTACCTGCAAATCTCTTCCGTTTGCAGTGAGTTTGACATCTCTTGTTGATTTGTTCCTTTAGAATCTGAAGTGGTCGTCGTTGAAGGCCCAGCGTTTGCCGAGTCTATCTCCGAGGGAGATATCCGTTGGAATAAGCGTTTGTTTCCCATATTTCGGCTTTCACTGTCGTTTAGAGGTGGGCGATTTCGTGAAGGAGGACGAGGTGGTGGCAGAGATTGAGACCGACAAGGTAGCCCATTTCTTTGTATTTCAATGGATAGTTTTTAGACGTCCGTCGAATGCCCTGCTCCTCAATCCGGCACCATCGTCGAATTGCTTGTTGCTGATGGCTCAAAGGTTTCTTTTATAATTGCGTGCTTTTGAATTGTTTTTCTTCAGGTGACGGCCAAGCAGAAGCTGTACAAGCTGCAGCCCGGCGAGGGTGGTGGCTCGGCGGCCCCGGCTGCTCCTAAGGTATTTTAATGCATTCTGCGCTTTATTTTTTGTTTAGGCTGAGGCGAAGAATGCTTCATCCGAGGCACCGAAGCCCGCTGCCCCTAAGCAAGAAGCCCCAAAAGCTGCGGCACCGTCTGCTCCACCTGCTCAAAACAAGGGTACGAAGTTGCCTCAGAATCACGAGTGTATTGTTCAGGATCCATCCCATCATCGCTGCCAAAAACTGCTCCTCCCCCTTCTGCCCCGATGTCTTCCACCCCAGTCTCCTCCATCCCTGTACAGCGCGTTCGGTAAATTTTTTGTGTAGAAAATTTATTTTAACACATACTTGAAGGGTTCCTGACGGAGTGCAGCCCGACCACGCGATTACCGGATCCCGTGATGAGGTATTCCCATTGAATTGTATAACATTCTAAATTGTTGCTTCCAGGTGCGCGTCAAGATGAACAGGATGCGCCAACGTATTGCCCAGCGTCTGAAGGATGCGCAGAACACCTACGCCATGCTCACCACGTTCAATGAGGTCGACATGAGGTACCGTTTACCCTATTCGGGTCTTCAAGCATCACAATAAATTCGCTTTAGCAACATTATTGAGATGCGCACGCGTTATCAAAAGGACTTCCAGAAGAAGCACAATGTCAAGGTGAGCTTTTTGGCTGTGCCGGCGGCCTTTTTTTTGATTTATACATTTTTGCGTTTAGCTGGGTCTGATGTCGCCGTTCCTGCGCGCTGCGGCATATGCCCTTCAGGAGATGCCGGTGGTCAATGCTGGTATGTCTCTATTCATTTCTTTATCAGACCAATTTAATTTTTCAGTGATTGACCAGGACGAGATTGTCTACCGTCATTTCGTGGACATCTCGGTGGCCGTCGCTACGCCGAAGGTATACAATTTATTTAATTTCTTTTAATTGTTGCTATGTTCCAGGGCTTGCTGGTGCCAGTCCTGCGCAATGTCGAGAGCATGGATTATGCCCAAGTCGAGCTCGAGCTGGCGGCCTTGGGAGAGAAGGTATACGATCTCGAATTACTGTCATTTTGGTACTATTGAAGTTGGGGGGGCAAAATTTTTTTCGGGTCATTTTTGGGCTAATTGGTCAGCTTTTCTCTGGCTTAGGCTTAGCTTAGCTTAGTATTGGCTTGGCTTAGGCTTTAGCTTAGGCTTAAGCTTAACTTAGGCTAGGCTTAGAACTAGTTTAACCTAGGCTTAGGCCTATGCTTAGCCTAAACCTTGGTACCTGGCCCTAAGCTTGGCTTCGTCACAGCATCACTGCTTTTGGCTGCGACTTAGCTTTGTTCAAGCTCAATTTAACTGTGCTTCGGCTTAGCTTAGCTTAGGAGTTGAGTATTGCGCTGGATTAGCCACGAAAAACTGATCAAGTAGCCTAAAAATGACCTAAAAAAATTTTGCCCCCCAACTTCAATAGTACCGTCATTTTTTTTAAAACCGGCTTAATATCGAAAAGTCCTCAGTTCTTTAGTATTATGCATGTCGAAAGCTACATTTTTTTTGCTGACAAACATCTTTCGATGCATAAAATTGTCATGGAAAGTATTTTAGTGGTGCGGTTCTGCTAGAGTTAGCTATATTTGAAGTGAAAAATACCAACGAAAATCAGAAAAAGTTTCATAAACGCTTTGATAACCAAAAATGACAGCACCTTTCTTTTTGACCTTTCTTGATATTTTTACGCTCCCTATTTTAGATGAGCACTTTTAGGAAAAATGAACATAATGCCATGGCCTCATAACAGCTTTTTACTTTTCATTTTTAGGCGAAGAACAATAAGCTGGCTGTCGAGGATATGGAGGGCGGCACGTTCACTATCTCGAATGGCGGTGTCTTCGGGTAAGGTTATTATCGAGCGTCGACTAGGGGCTCAAATCGACTTTTTCAAATCCTACCTTATTCAGCTCCGTCTTCGGCACACCAATCATCAACCCGCCGCAATCTGCCATTCTCGGCATGCATGGTGTCTTCGATAAACCGGTTGCTATCAATGGAAAGGTGCGATTTTTCGCTTCTTCAACAATTTTTCCTTTGTTTCTAGGTGGAGATTCGCCCTATCATGAAGATTGCCCTCACCTACGATCATCGACTGATTGATGGCAGGGAGGGAGTCACTTTCCTCAGGTACAGTTTCCTTATCTTCCATTTTTACATGTCCATATTTTCAGGAAGATCAAGAACGCCGTCGAGGACCCGCGCACGATTTTGATGAATCTGTAAACGACGCCACCACCACCAATCTAGTCAAAAAATTCATATTAGTTAGATAGAACTTTTAATGTGTGTTTTTTTATAGCCCACTTTCCGCGTCAGAATTGTAACGTGAAACTCGTAATTATGTTTGTATTCTTTGTTGGCCTGTCGGCAGGTTATCGGTGCCCTCTCTCGCCCCCCTATATATTCATCAAAATCCTGTGCGATCGTAATGTGCAACAATTCCCTAGATGGCTTTTCTATACTTTTGCTATCAAAGCTTCGTTGTCGAAAGGTCTATCTCTAGCCAGCTCCGGTAAACATTGCTCTTTTTGTCGTTGTCGATCACCCCCATTTCGCGAGCACCGCCACAATAAATGCCTTTTCATTTTTTTTGTTTTGCCGTTCGGAAACAGCGCAGAGCAACGCACACAATTTTCGACGCCGTTACCACTTGCAGAGTATGTCCTTGTGTCTCGGCAATCTCTTTCAAGTTGCGACCTGAATTCAAATTATGATGAAATATTCACTAAACCATTTGACATACGCCAACATTGCATTTGCTGAATTCTGCGATATATGACCGATACATAGGGAGCCTATGTATCAAGTATTTTTGTAGCCTTCAGCTCTTCGCTGTCTACTTGTTTTTGTAATTATTCTTTCTTCCAGTGCAACTTCTCGTTTTGATGGCAAGCTGCTCCAAGCGGGCCAGGGTCGATGAAGCGGCGTTCGACTCGTTTGATGAAGAAGATGAACAACCATCTTCTAGCACGAGACGAGACGCGCCATTGGTAAGGATTCTCCTAGCGCAAGACTTTGGGTGGTGTTGTTGGATTTTCCCCTTACTGGGTCGTCACAATTTTACATCTTGCCTCGCATATGTACTTTTTAGGCAACAACGACCGCGCTGGAGCTAGACGGGACGCAACGGTTCAGCCCAACAAGTATGGAAGCGCTTCGGCATACACAAGCCCTCGACCCTGAGCCCGAGCCTGTTCAACATCGTCCCACTCATCTAACAAATGGCAAGAGAAAGATCCAGACGTTCGTCTTCTTTGACCTCGAGACAACCGGAATCTTCCCTTCTTCATCGGGGGTGCATTTTCATATCCCTTTTCATATAATTTCTGTTTAGCAAGAAGTTCTCATCACGACTTCCGAACACGCGACTGCCAGACTCAACAATCTCATTCACGAAAGTGGGTTTCTTGCTGATTATTTTTTTTTTGATGTGTCTTTAGCGAAAGAAAATGACTATCCGCGTATTACCGAATTTGCTATGGTGGCCATCGATCGCGAGACGCTGACAAAATCGCTTCGCAAAATGCATGATATAGAAATTGAGGTTAGGGTCTTGATAAATTTCATTTATTACAATTGATTAAGCTTCGAACCAACGATGAGGACGCGACTCGTTTCGTCTATACCCCTGCCAATGTGCATTCCAGATTGGTACGTTTTTTTGTCTCCCCTGCCATGTCATATTATCAGATCAATCCGGGCCTGACGTCAGCCGAATGGGAACTGTACACGAAAAGGCAAAGCAGGAATTCGAAAAGTATCCAGTTATGTTTTAACTTTTATTCATTTCCTTTAGTGGTGCTGACAAAGGATGATTTGGAGCGGCAGCATACCCTACTTCAAGAGTGGATCGGCATTCGGCTTTTCCTCGAAAACCTACCCAAGCCGCTGTGCATCATTGCCCACAACGGAATCTGGTCGGTTTTCTGCTTATCAATCATCCCATGGCCTTTACTATAAAAATTTAGATGATGTTTACCTTTACTTGATGTTGCTTTAGGTTCGATTTTCGGCTGCTATATGGCGAATTGAGGCGTCATAATGTGTTGCACGACGCATTCCCCGATGAGGTACGTGCTGCTTGAACAATTTTTCAAAATTTCCTAGGTGTATTTCCTCGACTCATGGCACACCTTCAAGGACCTTGATCAGCAAAGCTTAGCTGATGTTGAGCATGTATTAGCGGAGGTTGATATGGCGGGCAGTGGGTTTACCTTCTTCTAGAAAAACAATCTCCTTTCCGTTGCTGCCGCGAGCCGATCAGCAGAAGCCGTCATCGTGAACCCGCAACGGGTACGCTATATGATTATTTTTATCCCTTTTTAGACGCGACCTGGCGATAATGCGGACATTTTCGAGAGTGTACCCATAGATCAAGACGATGGTCAGTGTCTACCATTCTCTTCGCGTATATTTTCTTTTTTTAGTGTTGATAATACATCCAGTGGCTGAGACGAAGAAGACGCCAGTGAAACGCCCCGATTCGCGTAGTACCGATGTCCATCAGTCGCCCAGCGTGTCCGTTTTATTTTGGCTCTATTTTGTCGAACTGGCCATTTCGTGATTTATATATGTTTTTAGTGCGGCGCGCCGTGCCCTCTTCTCACCGCAAAAAGAACGCCATCATCGAGGAGATGTCCCGCCGCTCCGTTCTGATCATCCACTCAACTTTCTCTGCTCTGTCAAATGGCCGCCGGCAAAGCACAACTGTGTTCGTCAGCAGGATTTCATGTAAGCCCTATATTTAATATGCTTTTGTTTAAGCATTTTTCTCGGGTTTTCCTCTAAAATTATTATTTTCCTACTTGTTGTTTTCTACCGTACCTTACCTACCTTTTCCAGGCAAAACCAGTGGGCCAAATGGACGTTCGATCGGCATCGAGCAGCAGCTGCGCTACGAACCCCGGGCACATACGGATTAGAAGGTCTCTACAAACGAAACATTGGAGGACACTACAATGCACATACGGCAGAGGCAGACTGTCAAGCATTGGCTCAGGTATCCGTTTATTAAGGCTGACTTTATTCGTATGTTTAATTCCAGGTAGCCATGGCGTATGGAGTCGACTTCTTGACGTATGCGGATCGCGTGGCTGCTCGGTTCCCGTTCTGATCTCTACTCGAGCAGCAACCGAATGCTTTATATTCTTTTTTTTTCTGTTGTATTTTGCATTTGCATTTTGCATACCCGTTTTCCCCCTCTCCACCTTATTTATGCAGTTCCTTTTTCCAGTACTCTTCCATTTTGAGCAGACTCAAAATATCTTATTTGGCTATGCAGTAGAGGGCGCTACGTACTATTTGTGAAAGTAGATAGCTTCTCGAAATAACAGCATCTATTAATGTTTTTCCTGAAGACACTCCATTCAATAGATAGTACCTTTTGAAAAGAAACATTGGTGAGACACATTTCGTTCTTTGGATGCTTTCTGATCACTCCCCCACTCGCCACTCATCTGGCCCACCCCAACAACATAACCCCCGGCCGGGAGAAGGCGAAATTGGCCCGGCTCAAATTCCTCTGAGTCTCCATCAGGGGCGGGAAACTTGTTCCTAAGGCTTAGGATTTTGTGAATTCTAATTTCATAAAGCGCTCTATTATTAAATGCACTTCTCTCTCTACTCTATAAGGAATCATTGAGGATCTTCTATAAAGACACGCTCTATTAATGGTCCTCTATAAAGACACACTAATAGTATCTTCTCTCTCTAAAGAAACATATCTAATTGATACATTCTGAAATACAGTGACATACTACCGTCCACCATCCCCAAAAAGCACCTATAGTTTCGAAGTGGTCCAGACGGGTGGCGAGAAGAAGAATATCAGCGAGCATTCAAAGAACACTCGCCCTAAAAGATTAAAAATGGACATATGAATTAAAGAAAATTTGATTTTCTGATGATCCTCCCCATTTTCGGGGCTTTACCAAAATTGGGCGGTAGAGGGGCCAGAGAGAGAGATATGAGAAAACGACAAGCAGAGCTTCGCCTCGGAGAAGCGGAAGCCGAGCAGGCTCCACCTCGACAACCGAACAAAGCCTCCAGCTCCTACTAGGCAACCCAAGCCTGTTTTCAAACATAAGCAAGGGTAAAAATGGTCGCTTGCCCACCTCATGCTTGACTTCAAGGGATGGAGCTTCAAAGCTGAAGCCCCAACCTCTTTTTCCACCACTCCGATTGATCCGCCAGAGTGTGCCCTGAGGGCATAGGGGCAGCCCGAGAGCCACCCGACTAGCAGCGAAAATGGTTGGACCTTATGCCCAGACAGTGGGCCAGACGGGGGGCGAGTGGGACCGTGCAAAAGAAACAACCAGCGTGACTCCAATCCCAGGCAAAATGGCTCGATTTTTGGGGGGTTTTAAGCCGTTTTTTCGGCATTTTTCACATTTTCCCGTCGACAACTGGCAGAGGTGGAAACAATGTCTGAAACACACAAAATCTCTGAACTTTTAAATGGTTTTTAGGCAGTTTTTCGATTGTTTGATGCTCTTCGATCTGGTTTTTAGCTTCCTAACTATTGGGGAGTAGGAGAATCCACCTAAATTGGGTGTTATCGTATCTTTTTGCTTGCTATCGTCTAAAGGTGGGCTGTAGTTTGTGCTTTGTAGACAGCAGCTTGTAGTTTGTGTTTTGTAGATTGCAGATTGGCCAAATGTATTTGTAGCGATGAATGCAAGATGGATCATAAAAAGTTGCGGTGTGTTCTCATGGCAATGGAAGAAATCGACGTAAACGATTCTGAGAATCGTTTGAAGCGTCGCTTAGGGGGAAAGGTGGTAAATTGAATTTTTCAAAAAGGAAGCGTTTTAGTTGTGGGCACCGCGCAATTGAATCGACGGAGGGCGTGACGATGATGGGGCACGTCTATATTAAGGGTATGGCGCTTAATTTAGAGTGTTTAAAGGGCTGGGTTAACTGTTAGTACGAAGGCGAAATATCACGTAAAATATATAACCCAGCCCCTTAAAAAAATAATTTAAGGCTTGGGCAGCTCATTTTAGCGCGCTCTTGTAAAGTGAAGTCGCGGGGGGCAAGAGGCTTTCGGGGGATCAATTAGCAAATTCAAAATATAAATTGGGCAGAAGATGAGGGGGATTGGATACTCCGCTAAGCGATTGACTTAGACCACACGCGCACACACAAACAAACAGATAAACACAAGAGAAGGAGGCGGCCACAGCGAAAGAGACATTTTGAGTGGAAATACTTGGTCGTCGTTTGTATTGTTTTTGTCGTCGGATCGCTTTACTGCTCTTTCTTCTCCGTCTCCACCTTCTTCTTCAGGAATGGCAGCTTCTCTTCGAGGCTAAAAGCAAATGGATATCAAAAGAAAAAGTAGGGGGAAAGTATCAGAATCTCGAAAATGTTGCATGTTTGCCATAAAAATTCTAGGAAGCGGCCGGACGATGACCCCATTATTAATTTTCGAGATTCTGACGCACGGGCATTCAGAGGACAGGGAAAGCGCCTGTGAGAGGAGGGGCGGCTCCAGGGCACTCCAATGGCCGCGCGTGTACTGTGCACGCTCCGCGATCCATGATCTCCCCATAGAAAGGGCCGAAAAATGGTCAAAAATTTTGAACTTCAAATCGCTATAACTTTTGAAAAGGCCATGTGAATCGGGAGCGCTGCTCTAGGAATGTAGAGAAGAGTCTGGGCTATGTTATGGAACAGGTCCAGGGCCGTAACAAACCCAGATTTCGGGGGGCGACCCCAAAATTTTTTCACTAATATGACTAAAACTACAGCGCCGCAGGCAAAATTTTTGAAAACATAGGGTTTATAACACTAAAACTAGTGTTAAAAATAGACAAAAACAGCGCCGCAGGCAAAAAATTTTTTGGAAAAATTAAATCATAAGGGTCCCCCCTTATGTACTTTTCGGCCTTCGGCCGATTTCGGGGGGGGCGGCTCGCCCCCCTTGCCCCCCCCCTCTTACGGGCCTGAACAGGTCTCAGGCCGATCTACAGCAGAAATAAGGACTTCTATAGCTTTTTAGCTCAGAAAGTGTCAAATTCCGTCCTTTGTGCGAAGCGTTTTTCTTTGAATTTAGGCTCATTCTTTGTGGTTTTTTCACTGAACTTGCTTGGGAAAGCATTGCCAATGTTAAATCAGCCACTTTTTTGGTCCTGGGAGGCTAAAATTTGTTGTTGCAATTCCGGCAAGCTTTTAATTTATTAATTTTTCGCATACTATGCTCCATAAATGATCTATTGGGACTTTTCCAGGCTTTTGGCGCAAAAAGCAAAAGGTTAAAGCGCTCCCTTGAGGGTGGGGAATCGAACCCGCACCCTCAGACTGTGGCTCATACCGGCGCCTTAGACCACTCGGCCACGCCCCTCCCCCTCCCCCACGCACGCTCTGAACGCCCGTGGACGGCAAATCTAAAAAAAAACGAAATAACTTACGTATTGGTAATGTTGTCAATATGTCCCTTGATAAGTCCGAGATTCTGATCGATCGGCTCTTGGTAAACCTCGTAGAATTTGGGGATGGAGAAGATGCCGAGCACAACTAAAAGATCAATCAATGGAAAACCAGCCCGAATACTTACAGAGAATCAACAGGCCGAATCCAGAGAACCACGACGTCACATAGGTCAATGCCCACAGAAGAAGTCCGAACTGAAAAACGATAGCATTAATTGAGGATATGGTGTAGTCACAAACCTTGACAGAATCGACAATCGATTCAACGAGGAATAGACGACGGGTCTGATTGGCCAGTACTTGTCCATGCTCCACGAGAACATCAACCTGTTCATGTACCTTCTCTTGGGGAACCGTCAATTCATGGTCCAGAAGAGGTCTGTAAAAGGAGTTGAGTTTACAATGTAAAGTACGACAAATAGCTATTAAAAAGGGCTTATGTTTTGGGAATTTCGAAAGGGGAAATATTCCTATCCTAAATTCTGACTTTAGAGCTTCCGAAAGTCTTCGACATTTTATATTGCGGAAATTTTTTGCCTATAGGGTGCCCAATAAAAAGCATCCCCTCTAACTAGACGCAGAAGTTTCGGATCGGAACGATGATTACACCATTCGAAATCCGCCGAAAGCAAGTCGAGTTTGCAACAACCTTCAAAACCATGTTTTTGGATTTAAATGCGCAGTGTTACAAGGCACTTTGTAAATTGTTACCGCTTTCGGGGTTGGATACGGCCAATTTTGCCTCAATTTCTCCAATCAAAATGACCGGATACAGCCGTTAATTCGATTCAGACGCCGTTCCTTTATGTTCTTAAATGCTCTGTAAAATGGCGCGTTCAAATAAAAACATGATTTTGGAGATTGTTGCAAACTCGCCGTAACAAGGCCTTTCGACATTCGACTACATTTTATGCAGATCCGATAATTCTGCGTCGAGTTACGGGGTGGGGGGGTTTTTTTATTGGGACACCCCGTAGTGATTGCGAAAGTTGTCGAAATCCTTGGCCTAATGTTTTCGAAATTCGAGGTATATTCGTTGATGACATAATGCGACATTTTGAAATGTTTGCATTACTGCGCCGTCACAAAAATAAACGTACTGGAATGGATTCTGTTGTTCAGTCTTCTTGATCTGCGCCTCGACGGCCTTGAACAATCGGAAGCCAACGGTACCGGCAAGGACAGCCAATGATGTGTAGACAACCACAGATAGGATCGGATATCTAAATGGAAATCTCAACCCCAAGAGGGAAATTACTTACTTGGCGAAGACGAAGAGGGCGATCAGCGTCAACGACAGGGCCACTCCTGACTTCTTCGGATCGCGCCAGTAGATCAGATCGAGCACTGAAAATACGGAGGTTACTAAAGGGACAATGAAGGGAGGCAGCGGCTATGGATATCGATTTAATTCAACCTTCCATAGTATTCTTTGTCATGGGGGATATCATCTGATTCGAGCAGAGAATTCTCATTTCTTCGAACCACCAATTATTCGATTCCCACCAAAAGACTCGTTGAGCCGCGGGCGTAGAGTTTTCTGTTTGGGCGGACACTCGAAAGTCTCCCGGTACCCCCCCGCCCCAAAGCATAGTAAGAAATGAGATTAGATTGTTAGATCGAGATGGTCAGATTTGCTATCATAATGCCGAAACTCAGAATGCCGACATTTCATAATCTCTAAATCTTTTGCGTATGATTCCGAGTTTTCCGGAAAAATTAGCATAATTAAATCTCGACATTATGAATTTCCCCCCCCCCCCCCCCCCCCCCCCCCCCCCTTCGAGAACCCGCGACGGATCTACAAACGGAAACCACTAGTATTATAGTCAATATCAAGCTCCAAAACCTCTCACCCATCATTAGATCTAATAAGTAGTCGGGGGACTAGCGGTTGTTGTGAATAGTGGCGTAGCGCTGTCTTTTCCAGTCAGCTGCTAGCTGTTGTATATGCCGTTGCGTCCCTCCCTTATTTTGAGTGTCCATCCCCTTTCTTTTCCTTTCTTTTCTTTCCCCCTCTGGGTGTGTAAAGCTTCACCGAAAGGAAGTCGCCACCAAATGCAAACAAGATCTGTTTCTTTCCGGTCGCCGGGAAATTTGCTCGCCACCATCTTCTAAGAGCTACCATCCGAATGTCAGGGCATACTAGCAAATACCATTTGAGAAGAGCCCCCGTTCCACTAGATGGGGGTCGATATTGAAGGACGGGTCTCGAGACACTCGTCAATATTTGCTTGCTCCCCTTTTTGCTGGCTCTTTTCTACCATCTCTCCCCTCAGGGCTAGATGGTCTATCGATTGTGCTCACAGGCATCATCTTGTCCTACTTTCTCGGCTATTTTAGACGGGAGAGAGAGAGAGAGAGAGAAAAGGATAAAGAGATACGGATAAAGGGCACTAAAAAGCCGTGGCTAGTCCTATTGATAAGCTCCCCGTAAGGGTACCGCTTTTATGAAAACATTGCAAAAAGCGCGAAATCTGCTACTGGTCCCTAAAATCACTGAAAAATTGTCAATAAGAACCGACAGGAATATTCGCCCGTATCCGAGAAAATAAACACCAGCACAAATAAAGATAAAAGTTAATTTTTTGCAAAGAAATTTAGAATCCGGCGCGCGCCAAATAACGCTCCATTTGAACATAAATATGCCCTTTCCAACGTAATCTCAGAGCAATCACCTCGCTACGCGATACTCAAAAAAACTGTCGAACCTTTTCCGGGGAAATCCTTGGCCGGTTCGTACGCCTGACGATTGGCGTATTTCTTGAATTTCTGCTGGGCCATTGCTGCGGAATAGAAGAGGAAGGAAGGAAGGAAGGGAGTGGAGAAAGGATTAGAACGGAATGGAGCTAGAGAGAAGTGTCGTGGAATGGCCTAGGGGGCGACGTGGAGGGGGCTGTCCCCCCTTGTTGTCTCCTCTACAGTTCCCCGCCCCCCCTCCTCTCTCTCTCTCTCTCTCTCTCTCTCTCTCTCTCTCTCTCTCTCAAAACGATGACTATCATCCTTTCTGTCCATTGCAGTCCGGGAAAAGGCCCATATTCTGCCCGGGATGAAGCGCCCGTCAATCCAACAACTCTTCAGATAACACCTAGTCTCTGTCTGTATGTCTGTCTCTCTGTCAGTCTCATCTAATCCAAGTGGCAGTCTACGAATTCCATAAAAAAACTCGTATTGCAGTTCGATGCTGGGGGAATCGATACCTCCCAGACAGCCACATCCTGTCATGTCATGAATTATTGATGCAAAACAATTCTGGGCATTTCGCCGTCTGTCCAAGGTATTCCCTCGTAGCCCTGCCCTTCCCTTCTCTAGATACAACTACTTCCCCGGGGGTCAAGGTCTCTACCCCTCCCAAAATGACACCTTTTGGGTTAGATTTTCCTTCCAAAATCCGCCGATCATTTTCTGAAAATCACATTATCAAAAAAACTGCGTTTTCGCACCCCCTTTGACTTTCGAAAATATGGAATTCACATTTCTATACAGCTTTTCAAAAATCAGCATTTCGAAAATAACTTTTGGAAACCGAAAATCTCGAAAACTTCGACTCTTTGAGACCGGTACCGCTAGGACAGGTCGATAAGGGGTAAGAAACCGGAATAAAAACTCTCTAAAATTTTGATTCTCGAGATATGATTTGGAAAACTCCGATTGAATCCCCCTCAAATTCCCAGAAGCGAAACTTGCCTTCTTTCCGCTTCTCAAGTGCTTGCTTTGAGAAATGGGCGACGGTATAGACGGTCATTGCAACCGAGACAACTAATGACACATTTAGACCGACACGAATTGTTGTATTTAATAGAAAGGCAATAAGGGCCCATAGCCCACGACCAAGGGCTCCAACTTTCGACATTTGAGAGTGGTATCTATAATGGGTGGGATTGGACATGTAGAGAAGGCATACGCATAGAATGAGAAAGGTAAGAAAAAGAGGAAATCAGAGGCAGTTTATAGCTCAGATGCTCTCCGTTTTTAGCTGGTTGAGTTACAACCAGACTTGGGAGAGCGAAACATCTGATCGAAATGGGCTCCTCGCCATGCTACTGGGGCTCTCAAGGGAATTCCAGAGACGGCTTCTAGGGTGAAAGCTCAAAGAAAAGCGAGCAACGCTAGCCTGTCATTTCGACGGCTTGCGCAACTTTGCGTAGGCAGATGATTAGGAAATGTGGGGTAGCGCAACTCAGAGAAACTACTCCTAGAGACACTTTAGAGCGAAAATTGGGTAACAGGGGCTAATGTAAGCCAAACTCAAGGCCCAAGAATAAGTTAGCCCCAATCCCCACAGCCCACCCTAAGCCGAAGCCTAAAAAGGCCTAAGCCTACAACCCGGCCTTCAAATCGATAAATCTCTATAAAACGCATGAGTTTAGACCATGAAATGTGGATGCCGATTTGTGCCGCGTCATTTTTTTGTTGAGCAAGCAAATAAAAAGGGTGGCTGGCGACAAGATAAGGCCCAGATTTGACGATTAAAGGCGGCCGATGGAGGGAGAAGATGCTCTCCCACTTGCCGCTGGGGGTTGTTTACTTCTTTTTCTTTGAAAGGCAATGCTGTTGGGGCCCTCGTGACTAGAGAGGGCCCTACAAGGCCATTCCCTCAGACAGAGGATGAGAGAGAGAAAGAGAGAGAGAGAAAGAGAGAGAGAGAGAGAGAGAGAGAGAGAGAGAGACTGGGCGAAGAGAAGAGCGTAAGGAGGAATTGCGGGGAATAGCTAGGGCTAGTCGAAGCAACGCAAAGGGGTCCTCCTCAAAATTGCCCGGCATCGAGTTCGGCCCCGTGTGTATGGCGTGTCGGTTGGATGGGCGCCAAGTGGGGGAACCCTCATCCTCCATCACCCGTCAATTCACGTAGCATAGAGTTTGCCAAAAAATGCAGCTAGAAAAAGGCCAGAGGTACAACAGCGGTGCTAATGCACTTGCGGGGGGGGGCTGCCCGGATTTTGACTACAAGACGCTCCAAATGCCGTTTTTTAAATTCGAAGCCTTTGGAAAAGCTAAGCTAAACCGAAGTCTAAACCAAACTTCATACAGACGAGGCCTGAGCTCAGTTTGAGCGAAGCTAAACTTATCTCTAAGCTAAGCCCTAAATGGCTCAATTTTGACCTCGTAAGGCAATTTCAAACTCAAGATCAGCTTAGCTAGGCGATACTTAAACCTAAACTAGGCATAGCTAAGTTAAGCCTAGGCTGAAACTGAAAACCATGTAGCTTAAGCGGAGCGCCTAGTAACGCCTTACTGCCAATTTCCGGCTACTGCATTAGCATCGGAAAATTCAATACGCAATAAGGTGGCGGAGGAAAGACCGGAAATGCGTACAGCGGTACCCACCCAAGGGGTTGTCCATTCAAAAAAAAGGCGCCAAATCGCGCGCGGACAAGGGTCAACACCCCCCAAGGGGGAGGCCGGCTGGCAATTTGAATTTAGTGGAGCGGCCAAGGATCGGTTCGGGTGCAGTAAGGGTAGAAATTTTAGAGCAGCTTCTTGGAGAACTGGGCGCAACAGCAGCCCTGAGAAATCGATCCGAAATAACCCAACAAAAAAAGGTTATTTTCCCGTTTTCCCAAATTTGACGAGCGTGGATTACCTGTGGTAAGCGGTTCCTGGGCCCGAACCACGAAAAAGTAGAACGACGCGACTAGAAGTCCCTTAAACAAGGCCAAAAAAGGGCCGACCGGGGGGTTAGTGGGAAGCACTGCCACCCGGGCCGCCACCACCCCATGAATATGGGGCAATTTGCAACCGGGAGGGCTGGAAAAGGGACGATGAAGGCCCCTGGAGGGCCCCATACTGGCTATTCGCCCCCTTCTTTCCTATGTACAGCTCCCGGTGAAAAATGGGAAGGCCGCAGAAAAACGCGGACGGGGGTGGGGGTTGGCCCGACGCCAGATTTGGGGCGCTGCTGGGGGGTAGGGCACGGAAATGTTCGATTTTATCAACAGGGCTCCTACCGAAGAGGTTGGGGTGAAAACAGAAGACTCCGAGGGGAATAGCGAATTTTAACGAACACTGGGGCTGAGATAATGCTACAGCGATTCCTTAGGAAACGGGGGGGCTGGTTCGTTAGCCGGGGAGGGGGGGAGTTTCTGACGGGTACACATTTTTTTTTGTCAAAGGCTTCTCTTGTCTCTCTGAAACCACATTATTTTGAGCTGCATGTAAAACTCTTAGTGTATTTTTCGATGCTCTATCGAATAGCGTTAAGAGATGATGTTGTCCCCAAAAAGATGATAAAATATTGAAAAATTGTGGCATCAAACTCATCGTCCCCCTCCCCTCGCTAACGAACCAGATCCGGAAAAGGGTAGGCTAGCTCAAAATTCTTAAGGAAATATGGGACACTAGCAGGCAAGCTAGCAGAGATTATTGCGGAGGTAGCATGCACTCCCGACGGAACGTTGGTTGTTATGGTGTTATGGTGGGTTGTGAAGGGGAGTGGGGTGGGCCCTAGTGAGTGGCCATGAGGGGCGGAGATCGATGGCCTATAGGGGTAGAAGAGGGAGGGTGGGTAGTCACATGCCCACCCCATAGCAGGGCATTCGACTATGGTGGGCCCTCCCCCCTCTCTACCCTCTGTCCAATGGTGCATTCCAGAGTATTGGGGGGCCCTAGTGAGGGAAGGGGGGAGGGCCCTGGTCGATACCCCGAGATGACCCCCGGGCATGTGCCCACAAAAGGGATACGCTAAATTGGAAACAATGACAGAAACAGAGGGAATAGGGAGACACAGAGAAAGACAGCATGAAGAAGGAGGAGAAGAAGACCTCAACTGCCTTCCAGGGGCCAACGTTACGAAATGGATGCACTAGCCGAGAGAGACCCTGGCCATGGCAGCCAGCCAATTCGGCGAGACCTAGGAAAGGACTTTTTCCGAAAGTTGCATAGCATGTAAGAAAAACCATTGATTTGGTTCTTATGCATGATCGGGGGGTCTCTATCGGGAAACCTATTTTTTACCTGAGTCTAAAAACGGATAGTGCGTGTTTTAATCGGGTCTTTGGTAAGATTTTAACTATATTCCAAGTAAAAAACCATCGAAAAGTTTTTAAAAGTAACATTTTTCGTCTTTTCACTAAATATTTGCAAAGTGTTTACCCCTTGGGATCGTAAAAAACGTTTAGAAACACTTCCCATCTTTACCTAGATTAGAAAAATTGGGCTAATAATAAGGCAAAAAGTTGGTTCCTCCCCCCCGGATAATGGGAAAGCACCACCAATTATACCCTAACGTCAAACCGATCAATAATAACGTAATCTACCACTTTCACAACTCCCTGGCCACAAACTATACTATCCTATCGTGCCTGGCCACTGGCACCTGGGTCGTCAACACTACACATTGCAACTAATGACGGACAGGGCTTATGCAAAGCCGTGGCGGAGAGGCGGGGGGGGGGATGGGGGTGGGCGAGCAGAGACCACGCGGGAAGGACCTCGGTAATTGCCACATCTGGCTGGCCACCATTGGGGCAGGCAGAAGCTCATCTCGATAATTGCTCCCGAGTTCCCTACCACTGCTTCTACACCCATACCCTTCTCTTTCTAGCAAGGGGACAGTCGTGTCCAGGTGGCAGAGCGGATTAACGCGGAATTAAAGGCCAGAAGAATTCCAGCCGTAATCCCGACATCCAAAATCCCACCCCAGATTTTAAAACCATTTATAAGTAAAACGACCGGAATCCTCACATTTGGCTGTCGGTATTTTGGCGTTTTCCCGTCCAGAAGGGGAGTAATGGTAGGGGGAAAGTAAAACGCCTCAACGCTACCCGGATACCAATTCACCGATACACCCTCTTGTTCCCCAATTTCCCCCCGAAGCGCCCAATTTGAGTCATTTGCATTCCGTTGCCCCCGTGTCCCCCATTATACCGTAGCCCCTCGTCTAAAAATGCCCTCACCTCTCGGGTCGACCGATTTGAAGTCGAACCATGGCGATGAGGAGCCGTGCTTCAGGATCGAGTGCTTGTGGCCTGGAAATAAAAATAAATTAAAATGATTTCAATCTTAATGCAAGTTTGCGCGCCTGTTAGTGCGATTCTGGACTGTTAGCGGGGGAGGGGGATTTTGGCGGGTGAACAAATTTTTCCCCTGTGATTTTCTACGGCTCTATAACAAAACCCCCCCCCCCCCCCCCCCCCCCCCCCCCCCCCCCCCCCCCCCCCCCCCCCCCCCCACCCCCCCCCCCCCCCCCCCCACAAACCCCCACAAAAAAAATAACCAAAAAAAAAAAAAAAAAACAATATCTTCCCTTTATCCCCACCATTCCCCTCAAATAAAAAAAAAAAAAAATATCCCTTTTTTTTTTTTTTTTTATATTTTATATTTTATTTTTTAAAAAAAAAAAAAAAAAAAAAATAATTTTTATATAAAAATAAAAAAAAAAATTTTTTGGCCGGGGGGGGGGGGGGGGAGGGGAAAAAAAAGAAAGGGGGAAGAAGGGGGGGAAAAGCAACAAAACCCTTCTTTATTTTTTCTTTTAAAAAACTTTTTTTTTTTTTTTTTTTTATAAAAATTTTTTTTTATATTTTTTTTTTTTTTTTGGTTTTTTCCCCCCCCCCCCCCCCCCAAACAAAAAAGAACAAACCTCTTCCCCCTTCCCCCTAGGGGATTACCGGGGAAACGGGGGGGGGGGAGGAAAAACACCCACACTTTTTTTTTTGTATAAACTGTTTTTTTAGCATTTTGCATCGTTTTTAGATATAAAAACAATATAAAAAAATACTAAAGATTTCCAAAAATGTCTGAAAATGATGATTTTAATTTTTATTACTTTCTAGCAATCAAAAACTACTAAAACACCATAAAAATAGATAATATATCATCAACAGGTCGGTACAGGTGGAAAAACAGAAAGTGGTTCCCTCCTGCTAAAATCCCTCCCCCCCGCTAACGAGCCAGAACTCCGCCTGGTATTGCTACGGTACCTTGTCGCAACAAACAGCGAACACCCGGGTCTCGTAGTAGCGATTCAATATATTCCCTTGAAGGTATAGGAGATGGTGGTGGTGTTGATGGATCGGGCGGGCAGCCACAATGATTATTACTACTATTTGTATCGGATGTGCTGGGTGGCAATCGTATCATCGTCGGTGTTGTCTGCGTGGCTACCGTATCCCTCTGCTCATTCCATGGCCTCCACAGTGCTTCCGTAGACGTCGAAGCGTCTCTCATCGCTACAAGCGTCGTCTGCCTCTCCAACTCGTATGGCCATGCAATAGAGGTTGTTTCAGTAGATGTTGGTAGATGTTGTGCAGATGTGAAGTGAAGAATATGCTCGCTGGAGGGCCATCTGTTTTCGTCGTGCGAGGAGGAGAAGGATGAGGATGATGAGGGGATAATTGGTAGACTGGAGCGTAGCGGCCGTAGCAGTTTATACTCGCGATCGAGCACTTGGTTTCGGAGACAACCATCCGCAAAATAGGTGGCATGATGGGAGTGAACTGGACTGGTCGGCATCTTTGGGAATCTATCAATCTCGAATTTCAGAATTTCGAAAAAGAATCTCGAAAATTAGGATCTCGAAGTTCATAATATTGAATTTTCAAAATCTTAAAATTGCATGGTAGATAATCGGCATCTTTAATGGGATAGGCAAATGCTTCGAGTTAATAGGCCAAAAAGGACACAAAAAATGAAAGGTGAAGAGAAAAAGGTTCCAAAAAGGCGGGAAAGTGTCTTTTATAGGGCAAGGGACAGAGTGAGGCCCAGCTGTGTTTGGCGGATTGTTTTTTGAGAGGGCTCTCCGGTCGAAAATCAATGGAAGAGGGCCCGAATAGAAGGGACCCAGTGAAGAGAAGGAGGCCAAGAAAGAGGCTGAAATGCACCCAAATAAGCCATTCATGAAAAGAGGAGGGTCATGGATGATGGATGGAAAAATGGACGAGAAAATAGCGAAAAGAATCGAGAATTGGCCACGGGGTTCTTTCGCATTATCGGGGGGGACAACTTTTTTTCTTAAGATTTAATTTTGCAAATATAAATAGTACAAGTGTTTCTAAATGGGTTTTTGCGATTCCTAAACGTGAAAACATTACAAATTTCTATTAGAAAATACCAAAAATATCGATTTTTCGTCGGGATCGAGGGGAAAATGGACCATTTTTTACCAAATTTTCGGTCACACTACACACTTTCTATTACGTTACTAGGCATTTCTAGAATGACACAAAAAATTTTCTGTCCCCCCCCCGATAATGCGAAAGAACTGGCCACGGCATTCTCCAGGAGAATCTTCTCCACAAAATGACTAAAATACTCAAAGGAGAGGCGGACGCGTTGCGAAATTTTCCGCGGGACAGCGATGAAAAGGCCGTGAGTCGGACTCATCGAGGGCCTCGTCGCAGGTAATTGTTGCACGATTCCGCTCGAATCCTTTGCACGTATGGGTGGAGGTTGAGGGTAAACGGGGGCAAACAAATCCCCGGTTTGACCCCAAAAAAAACGCTGGCATCGAGGGGGAAATTCACAGAACCGGAATGAACAGGAAACGCCTTTTTTTGAGGCCCGGTGCAGCTGTTTGCGCGCAGTTTTCGGTTCTGGACTGTTAGCGGGGGGACCAATTTTCCCCCAGCTAAATCCCCCCCCCCCCAGCTAACAGTCCAGAACCCAATTTGTGAAGCAGATTTCTGAAGGTGAAAAACGAACCGTGATGATGATGTGGTGGGGCTGGGCCGAGGTTGACGACGGACGGCTTGACGTCCTCATCCGAGAGGTCCTTTGGTGGGGTTGGTGGACGAGGCTCCGTCTCGAATCCACTGCAAAACGGCATTGAATTCGGGTTATTTTCATTTTATCGAAATTCGCTTTGTCAAAATCCGATTAGGTTTTAAATCTGCCGGAATTAGAATAACGACGTCACTGTCTTTCAGTGCCGTTAACGATGCATTTTCGGTGCTGTTTTCGGCATATTGCATTTCGAGAAAATGTCAACCTCGAAATTCCGTAAAAATAAATACTTGAATTTCGGCATTCTTCTCGCAATTCAATGAATTCCATTGTACGCAGTTAAACAGCACTAGACAAGCGGAAAACCTACTGTCCAGAGGCGGGTCGAACAAATGCGTCCAGTTCATCGTCGTTGAGTTGCGGGACGGCCTGAAAACAAATAAAAATGAAGATAAAAAGACCAACCTCGGGCAGTTCGGGAATGGTGAGCGGGCCCGAACGTTCCATCATCTGCTCTTCTGGGGTCTGACGGCCAAAGTGGGGCCCATCCGTCTCGCCGAGCAGTTTGCCCACAGTGTCGCGGCCTAGAGCGATACATTAAACTAATTGTAAGGTAAATCGTTGGATTTCAAGGTGCTATAGATTTGCTGATAATCCCAGATTTTTGCATGTCGAAATTTGATAATATCGAAATTTCAAATTGTCGAAATTTCATAATATCGACATTTCAGAACCACGAAAGCTTTTGAAGGATTGGAGGGTTTTCCGGGAGAATTAGCTTATGTAAATTTCGACTTTATGAAAGAAACCCGCTTGGCAAATAATCTACGCTAGTCTCCCCCGGCTCAAAAACATACCAGAATCACCGCTGGGAGATGCGGGATGTTCATCTTGTTGTGGGGCGGCAGGGGCCCACGTCTCTTCATTTCCCTTCAATCCGGCCATCAACGCGTCGACATCATCGTGAAGATCCTCGACGTGCTCCCGGATCGGCTCATCATGGATCGGCCTGAAATTAAAAGCTATTCTTGAAAAGTTTTAGCCTTTTAAAAAACCCGATCTAGCTCCCAAAATGGGCAATAATTTCAGGTACCTGCTAGGGACAATTTGTGGAGATCCGAACATGTTCTCGTACAAGACAAAAGAAATATAATATTTGGGGGGATGGAACGGTGGGGGGGAAAAGCCCTCAGCCATATCAAAAAGGCGCGACGAGCCGAAAACAACTCCTGAAGGCGGGACCTCGATAAATATCGATAAGTGCCCTGCACTTTCGTACGCAAAGCAACAAATAACGCTGAGTAAGGAGGTACCTATCGCGATAGAGATCGTCATGGTGGATGGGATCTTCTTGATGGTGGATAGCTGGTGGCGATGGAGGAGCTGGCTGCTGAAAAACAAAGGCAAAATTTTCAGCAATTGAAGGTAGAATCATTGACGAAATAGACAAGACTACAGCTACACAAACCTCCAGGAAACTCAGATCGTCTTCCTAGAAATGATTTTCATTTCGGATACCTTTAAATTCATTTGTAATACATTTGGATTCCCTATCAAAATCTCGAATTTTCAAATTCTTGAGGTTTCAGAATATCGACATTTCGATAGTATGAATCGCCTATTCCGAGTCTAGTGTAATTCAGTCTATGCAAATTTCGACATTCTGAACTTCCAAATTCTGATTTTGGAGATTTTGATAGATTCCCATCCCCCCCCAGTATCGCAAAATGAAAGCTGCAACGCTACCTGCCGATGGGGTTGATCGTGATGGGCGATGTCGTGCACCGGGGCCAGCAAGTCGTCGAGATCATCTACAAAACAATGATAAACAATTCAATGCTGAATTCCTAACCGCGTGGTGGTGACGGGTGTCGTGGTTCCGCCTCGTGAACGTCGCCCAAAAGGTCTGTAACATTGGATTATTTGATCTTCTAAGCTCTAAGAAAAAAAAAGTTGGTCCCCCCGACAATGCTAAAGAACCAAAGAATGTGCCCTCGTAATGCTAGCCACAAAAAAGGAGCAAACGTACCGTGGTGTGGGACGTTGTTGTGCGGAATGTCGACGAGATCATCGTCGTGTCCACCGTAGCTCTTCTCCAGAATATCGTCACGGGGTGTTCGTTCCATTGGCGACTGAAATAAAGAGATATTAACTATATAAGTGAGGGAGGTGAGATATCAACATAAAAGTCATTAGCGCTTTTTGAGAATAGAAACAGCATAAAAAGAAGAGTCACTATTCCTGGAATATCCCATTTCATTGCAACTCCCCGACGTTTTGTGCGAATTTTCTGGACTAAATGACGCAACAAAAAACGCGGGGAACACGTTGCATTGTCGAAATGCAGTGACTAATCGTGTGCACATATATGAATCGGCATCCGGAATCCGGAATTTTCAGGAAATAAAATAAAATGAATTTTATAGGCAATTACTAATAACAGGAGACGTCAAGTTTTTGAGAAATTTGCAAAAGGTGCAGCGAAATCCAAGGTACACGCCGGATTCTTGTGTGCGTGAGTCGTTATTTTTCGGGCAGATATTTTCGGCGACAGACGGACCGACAACAAACAGAAATAGAGGAAGCGGGAAGGGCAGAAAAAGGAAGAGAGCGAGCGAGCGAGAGAGAGAGAGAGAGAGAGAGAGAGTGGGAGAGAGAGGCATTGCAGCGATTCGAGGCTGGTCAGTGCACCTGAGTTGTTTACGAATGTTACTCGCTGGCGGCCCGTTTCGCAACACTCAGCCCCCAAAAATTTCGTTGCAAGCGAGCGGAAATCGAGGCGGCAGCTAGGTAATAATGAAAGGAAGAGTGGAAATGCCGTCCCTTGAAAGGAATACTTGAATTTCGATGGTCTTTGGATGAGTTCCGGGGCCAGAAAATGGGTCATGAGGGTTCACTGAGGAGGAGGAGGAGGAGGAGGCTAGTTTTGCCTGTGCTACCCCTCCGCGACTACTCCCACGTATAAATTGAGCATCCGGGCGAACGGGGCGACCTTCGGTACGCATTGCTATGCTATATCAAGCGTTTTCCAGGGCAGCACTACCCCTTTAGGAGGCCCAAATTACGTGGGACTGTGGTATGTCAAGTGGTTGCCAGGGCTAAATTTTCCGGATAATGGTGTCTGTGGAGGGAGTGGAGAGAGAGAGAGAGAGAGCGAGAGAGAGAGAGGGGTACGAGGGATAAAAGGGAGTGGTGGGCCCCCGTTTGGCCATCGACTGGTCAATACGACGGCGAGGAGGCCCGTTTTGGGCTTAAGATACCCCGGAAGGCTGTCCGAGTGGGGCACGATGGCCAAACCCCGAAGCCTAATTACGGTTGCAAAGCCGCGGGTCGGAGCGGCAGAAAGGGTTCGAATGGAATGGGAATTCGACCCGCCAGTCAGGATGGTAGACAGCGAGAGAGAGCGAGAGAGAGAGAGAGAGAGAGAGAGAGACAGAGAGAGAGAGAGAGAGAGAGAGAGAGAGAGAGAACGGACGATCGAAACCCCCAACAAGCCCGCATCTAAAGGGGAACATAACGAAATTTAGCAGGGGGCAGAAGCCGTTGGAGATCGAAAACAGCCCTCTACTGGCAAGCCGTCCGGCAAAGCAACACGATTAAAGGAACGGGCAAGGAGAGAAAGAATCGCCGCACCGCAAACGCAACGCGCACACCCTCGCGGCAATTGTGTGAAGCTTTACCGCTAGTGTTGGTTTTTAGTCCGAACACTTTTTAGTCCTAAATAGTCCACGGACTTTGGACTAAAAACCAGCACTATTTACCGCGTTTCAACAATAGCCGCAGGGTGCGCGCGTACGAAAAAATATAGGGAAGTTATAACTTTCTTATTCCTTTAAAATGAAGCCTTAAAATAAGCTTAAAATCCCCGGTAAACAACCTCGCCCTTTAACAAAGCGGCAAGAAACCAAGAAAAAGCCGAGCTGAAACTCAACAAAACAGGAGGTGTACAGCGAGGAAAAGGGGAGGGAGGGATAAGGGCCCATCCTTTTTGACTGGGCACACAACTGCTCAAACAGGGGCCAATTGATCCGGCAACTAGTGGCCCATCCTCTTTTTCACTCACCCACTCTCTCTCTCTCGCTCTCTCTCTCTCTCTCTACATCCAAGTGGATGGATGGATGGATGATGTTTTTGACTGGTAGTCGATACTTTGAGGATTCTAATTAATTAATTTATTTGCGCAACGGGGCGCCATTGCACATGCAATGAGTCACAGTATAGGGGAAAGATGTCAAAGAAATTCTTGGGAGAAGCACAAAAATCAGGAATTTTTTAGCAGAAAACCCTTTCAACTTGAAAAGTATTCCAAATCTAATTTTGCCAAAAAGATATCCTTCACGATACCCAAAAATCAAGGAATTCGTTTTCAATTCGCTGGTTATTGTTTTTGGGTAATCGATCCCTCAGGAAATCTGGCTAAATTGAAATGACATGTGAAGGTGAGTGATCGTACAGAGTACAGTCGCGGAACAAACAGCTCTCGCCCCCAAAAATAGCGTGCTGTGAATCACTGCCCGTCCGCAACCCAAAAAGGTTATTTGTCTGCTAGTCGACCGAGCAAAGGAGGGTTTTTCGACTGAATTTTGCTTGCGAAAAGTTCTAAAAAAATATACTCATATTAAGAACAACAGTAAATCAAAAAGAATACTAAAAAATCAGAGCTATTAAGTGAATCAGCGATGAAAAAATCGAGACACGATATGACCAGCAGCCCCCAAGTGGTGGGGAATTGTTTTGAGGGGTTGTGGGTTGTGGATGGGATGGGCTACGAGGGACACCAATTGGCAACCTGATTGCACCTTTTCTAGCCCCCCACACCACAGCCGTTACTATGGGAAACAAATAAGCAACGAGGGCACGGTTACGAGTCGTTGACGGCAATTCACTCCGCATCATGGCCAAGCGGCAATGAAATCGAAATTTTCTTTTAGCGAAGCCGCCGATTGCTAAACGTTGGAAATTTTGTAGAAAGCTAGAAGAGAGGGGGAAAGCTAGGAAACTATTCAAACACGTAGAGCATCTCAAGGGATACCCAGGCATTTGTTGATTTAGAAATTGAATCCTCAATCGATTCAAGAGCCCCATGTGGTCAATAAATCAAATCGAAAATGGCCAATTCTGAGATATGTGCTTCTTAACTATCCAGAGAGAGAGAGAGAGAGAGAGAGAGAGAGAGAGAGAGGAGAGAGACAGAGAGATTGGGCTCTTTTGCATTAACGCGGGGAGGCGTTTCTTGGTCTGGAAACAAATTTTTCTTTGGTTCCAAATTTTGAAATACAAATAAAGAGACTGTTTCAAATTGCTTTTCACTATTCCTAGATGCAAAAACTTACAAAATACATTAAAAAATACAAAAATATGGGGTTTCTTGATGCCAAATTAAAATTTCAAAACTTTGCAAGTTATTAGATAGTTTTCCACTTTAAATATAGTTAAATTTCATCAAAAGGAGTTGCTGGCAATATAGGAAAAAATATATATAGCACCCCTGATAAAGCGAAAGAACCAAAATTTGTACTACACACTCCACGCCAACAATTCCATGCAAAACGTACCGAACCCGGTCCGTCGATATCACCAGGGATTCGATGAAGGATGTGCACTTGATCACTGTCGTCGTTGTGGAACGGAGGTTCAGCTTGTCCTCCTCCTCCTCCTCGACTGCTTCCAGCTCCGAGCCTCATCGTGCCTTCCGTGTCTTCCGCTTCTACGAGTTCGAAGCCGGCGTCGCGTGCAAACTGAAAGTGACAACACTTGCACCATACAACAACATTTTACGCCAAAAAGGAACCGTGGGCAAGGCAGGCGATAATTTTTAAGCTCGATGGCTGACTAGTCTTAAGTTCCTAGAAACCACTCAAAACTACGAGAGACGCCCCGCTACACAATCGCCTTCAGGCGATTATCTATCAGAATCTGAATTTCAATATCCCGCATTTTCCATAGTATGAATCAAAATTTAGAGCTGCAGGGATTGCACGCTTACGCTCTGCATCCACCCTATGAAAATGTCGAGATTCTTAAAATTCGAGATTTTTACAATTTCCCTAGAAAGCCACTCAAAACTACGAGGCACAACACGTTACACAAATCCACTAAAAGGCACTCAAATGGAAATGGTGCGGTGGTCGAGCATGCATTTCAAGCCGATACTCGAGAAAATACGCACGATCCTAAAGCGGCTTGTGGGAAGGCGTGGGAAGAATGAATGTGAAGATAGAGCGAGAAAGATATGTGGGAATGTGTGAGTGATGTTTGTCTATCAAAAGAAATGGTTCGGAATGGGGTAACGGGCAAAGGAAAAGGCGGAAAAGAAGGGTTGGATGGACATAAAGCCAGTCATCCACCCATAAAAAGGAATTCAGCCGGACACTGGAAGGCACGGAAATGGCCTATAAGAGACGGGACAGTCATCTATCCAACAGAATCGCGCTCGGCTCATCTGGAGTTGAGAATAAAAAGGGGTGAGAAAGAGAGCGAGAGAGAGAGAGAGAGAGAGAGAGAGAGAGAGAGAGAGAGATTTCTTCAATTTCTGCAAAGTCTGCGCGACAAAAATGACCCACATAGAAAGCTGACGTTGAAGCGCCGAACATCAGTGAAATGGTTAGCTTAGCGTTATAGGCACTTTTTGGGAGAGTGTGAAGTAACGATCCGAGAAGAGGGTTTTGCAGATGTAGATTCAGGGGTGGGACCCTTTGGGGGGATGCCATCTGATGGCCGAAAGAAGCGGGGATCGAATTTCGACTTTCCGCCGGGAGGATGGCGCCATATTCGGCGAAAAATGGAGCTGAGGACGCTCGAGTAAGAAAGGGAGAGAAAAACCTTCATAGCATGACAAACTTAATAAACTCACATCCGGATCGTCGGGCAGCTGCCCGAAGAGGCTTTGCTGCATCTGCTGGGCAAAGTTCTGGCTGTACTGCTCGAGCACGTCGTCGGATGGACGCTCCAGCTAAACGAATACATACATGAATTTCTCGAGTCTCAACCGACCTTCTCGAACCCGGTGCTGTCGACAGATTCGGGATTCGAGTGCTCGTGTTGAGGGGGAATTGGCACATGGCGGGGCGACCCGTTCGGCGAGTAGTCTTGTGGAGAGTCCATCTGTAAATCAACCGAATTAATGCGCAAAACGGACTTGCTTCGATGTTGTCGAAAAGTAAAGTGCCGCAATACATTTTTTCAAATTGATTTTGTTTGAGTTGATCAAAATCGCATTTTTTAAAGTTAGAGATGCCTTCTCGATATATAAAAATTCGATGTTCCGATTTTCGACAAATTCAATTCCAAATTTTCATAGAAAAATAAGCGAAAAGGAGCACGAACCTTCCTTTGGACGGGGCGATCGGTGAGCCGAATGTGGGTGCTGTTGACCTGGAGTGGTTGCTCGTCGGCCAGAGGGGTCTTCTGGCGTTCGGGCGAAGGCTGTAAAATAACTGGTTGGGGAGCGTTGCTATCATAATGCCGCTAACCATCATGTCGAAATTTCTTAATGCCGAAATTTCACGATGTAGAAATTGATAATGTCGAAACTTAGTATGTCGAGAATCTGTTTTGCATGGCATCGGAGGTTTTTACGGGGAAACTAGCTTATGTAAATGTCGACATTATGATTTTCGACATTTTCAAAGAAAGACGGGTGGGAACACGAGAAATAAATGGTACCTGTGCGAGTGCCTGATGAATGTTATGAAGGGCGTCGACAAAGTCCTGTCTACCCTGGGTACTTGCAATCGATGAGAACGACGCCTTCTTGAAGTCGAGCGGTTCCGCTGAAAAATAGCGATTAGACGGTGGAATTGGAGGAGAAATTCGGGTTCGTTATAGAGAAAAGACTAGCATACTAGGATTGTGGCTTGAAAAAAATGAAATGCCAGAAAAGTGTTGAGGCCATACCAAAAATGTCACTGCCTAGACGCTTATACTTTCGCATTAAAAATTAAGAAAAATACTTAAAAATCGTCCTTTTTAGCTAAAATACTACGCTGGAGGCGAGATACCTATTACAATTATTTCTATTACTACAACCTATGCTCTTGAGTTCGCTCAACTCTGCGACATCATCCCCCTCTTCCTCCAATTCGGGATCAGCCTCCGATTCTGAGAATATCGTGGAGAGATGAGAACGAGCAGCCAACGGGGACGTTAAATAGCCTAAAGTCGAAGCATTCTGCAACGAGGCCCGAGCTTCTCCTTGTAGCCGAAGAAGCTCGTCAAGGGCAGCAAGAGCTTGGTTGGCCGATTGAGACGTTGGGGTTGGGGTTTCAGTCAGGCGCTCTATTATAGCGACTGGAATTGTGGTTGGGACAATTTCCGTCGGTTCCGGATCAGCAATAAGCGGAGAAGAGGAAAGCGGATGGTCTGGGGAGAGTACAGCTTCTTCTTTTTCGTCTTTCGTTCCCAGTTTTTGGTCATCAACTTTCGGAATGGAGCTCGGCTTCTCAGGCGTCATATCAGCCTGCTTTCCGGATTGCGCCGGTTCAATTTCCGGCTGTTCGGACCGGTTTTCTGTATGCGAAATCTGTACCTTAATCGGGGGCTGCTCCTCAATTACAGCAACTAGAGCCTCGGGGCTTTTGGGCTCTGCCGGAATGCCAGCTTCTTTTTCCGGAATTCCCGGTTCCTCGTCAGCGTCACGAAGTTCATCAAGAGGGTCAGGGATGTCGGTTTCGACCGGAACCTTGTAGGCCGTATTTTTTTGAATTTCCGGCTTTTCCGGTTCAATCGGCATAATTTCCACCGGATCTCCCGATGCCCTAGCATTTTCTAATTTTGGCATAATCGGGTGTTCATCCATAGTAAATAAAGGAAAATATAAGGTGGAATTTAGAAAGTGGTAGAATACCGTAGCGAGTACGCGGTGCGACAAAGGACAGAATATCGAGTAGCTGGCCGGGTGGAAAGAATGGCCCGGAATATTGCTAAGGGCAGTTTGGAGGGGGGCGAGGTGGGAACTCTAGCCTCTAAGACCACCGAGGTCCGCACAGGAAATGCCGAAAAATGAAGCGGGGAAAAGAGTGGGAGGAGGAACAGCTGGCTCTCAGAGGGACGGGTGCTTTTCCTACACGAGATTCCGGGGGAATACGTTTCGTTTTGAGGAGGACAACGGGTGGGACAGCAGCCAGATTGGACACTTTGGATTTATTGCCCATACTGCAGAAGATCTCTACTAGTCACACGATAGTCGAAAATACCTGTTTATTCATGAAAATTTTTTAATTTTACAAGGTCAAAACGATTAAAAACAGGAAATTTTTAAAGTGGATACATTTCAAAAATCTATGATGACAAAATGGGGGGCTTATCGCCACTGGGTGAGAGAGAGCGTGCGAGAGAGAGAGAGAGAGAGAGAGAGAGAGAGAGAGAGATGCCTGACGCAACGAACTGCCATGAAACACGTGGTCAACAATGAGGGAGAAGAACGGGGACGACTGTTGAAACAAGGGAGATTAGGGCACTGTCCGGGTCTTTCTACAGGGAGATGACTTTTCTTCTTCAATTCTTCCAATTTCAGCACTCTCACGCCCCTCAAAAGATCCTTTTGCTTGCCGGTGACACTCAAAATATAGGGGTCTTTTGACTGTGAGGGGATCGGGAATACATGGGAAACAACCTGGATCTAGACAAACATTTCTTTAGATAAACAATTCCTCAACATAAAATATATGTATATGAGATCCGGGATGATTAATAAACAACATGAACTACAAGAAAAAAAGCAGCTCTGCAAAAAACAGCTGTTTCATGATCCTACGGACAGCCGCGACCCGGTTCTTTCACATTATCGGGGGGGGATTAATTTTTTTAAAGTGGGGATTAACTTTTTTAAATTGTAGAAATGCCTAGTAACTGAATAGACGGTGCCTTAATAGTGTTCATAGTAATATCTAACTATATTTAAACTAAAAAAACTAACTAAAAACTTTTAAAACATGTTGAAAAAGCCGAAATTTTGGTAAAAAAATCTACCTTTTGGTCGAAAATCCGATATTTTTGATATTTTCTTATACAAATTTAGGATACAATTTAATACGTTTAGGCATAAAAAACCATTTACGAAAACTGCTACGATGTATATGGAAGATGAGATCCTAAGAAAAAAAAATTGGTCCCCTCCCGGAAACGCGAAAGAACGGAATTTCATTCAAAAATCGTTGCTGGACCAAGGGGTCAGTCCCGAAGGCTTATCTCGGCTGGACAGTCACGTGCTGATATAGAGGACGGAAAAGCCGTCAGCTGATTCCTCGAAACGGCGCAGCTTTTCTTCTGTCCAATCCACCCCGGCACTGCCACTCACCATCGAATTCTCAAGTTGCATCACCCGGGGTCAGAAATCGGAAGCATCGATTTTTATTTAGATCAGGAGTCAAAAATGATCAGTTGAAGCCTTTAATAGAGCCTAAAGCTCATCAAATGCCAGTTAGTTGCTAACGAGGATTAGTTCGTCGAGGATGATGGTGTTTTGAGAACTCAAACCCAGCTTTAACTCGGCTTAACTTAGGGTTGGGCTTAGGCTTACGCCCAAACTAAGCCTGTTTTAAGCTTTACAATTAGCCTTGCGAGGTAGAAATGGGTCAATTAGGGCTTAGCTTAGAGCTAAGCTTAGCTTGTCTCAAGCTAAGCTCTCCTTTGAGTGAAACTAAACCTAGGCTTCGATTTGGCTTAGCTTTTCCGGAGACTTCCGGAGGATTCCAAAGCTTCTTTTCAACCGGGGGGCCAAGCTAACCGATTTGCTATCTAACGGCTGTTTTGCCTAAGAATCGGCTCGATTCCCGGCGAACAACCCTCGCCAATCCCTCAACCCAAAATGTCTCGAGTTTCGCGGTGTGAGCAGTCATGGGGGGGGATATGTTGTTTGTGGGCCACTAGAGTTGGACACTTGCCATATGACTCAACAGACAGCCCGGGGGAGATCCCAGCCGCTACGCACTCACACACATATATCCGGGCATAACGAGCAAAAATCGGAACCTCTAAAATTAGCAAACCGGGACTCTCTGTCGATTGGTACTGGACTGTTAGCGGTGGGGGGGTTAGCGGGGGACCAAATTTTTCCCTGTGATCCTCTACAGCCCTATAACAAAATATAAACTATTTTAATTTAGATATAGAAACAGTATAAAAAATTATAGCTTTTCGAAAGTTATTGACTTTTTCGAAAAAAATGTTCATAAATGTAAAAAATATTATAACTTTCTAGCAATCAAAAACTACTAAAAACGCTATAAAACTATATATTATGACATCGACAGGCATAGGTGGAAAAAAGACCCCGGATCCCCCGCTAATGGTCCAGAACCGATTGATGTTAGGAAATCCCGAATTCTGAATATTGAATTTGTAGTACGAATCTACCTTCTGTTACATAACAATACAAAACTCCCCAAAAAGCGCAGATCACGCTCATATCGCAAAATGTCGGAGGGCGAATTGAGTTGCTGGCGTGAGTTTAATTGTTAGCAGACTAATCACAGCTGAATAATTTGAGTGATGATGGGTCTCGTGTCTCTCGTGGTCATCATCTTGCCCTGCTACACCTCGGCCACCAATGACTCCAAGAAAAAGACGGTAATTGGGTGGAGAGTTCGCTAAACAGCTTCCGAAAATACGCTTCGGAAATTCACTTTCTGATAAAATATTTTTCGTAAGTCATCTTGCAAAAATTAATCTTTCCAAAGGGGAACACGACAAATTTCAGGTGATCGACGAGATGGAGGTTAGCGCGGAGAATGAAGTGGAATGGCATATGCACAAATTGGTGGACAAATATCTGTCAACGCTCAGCCAGGATATTGCAGCGAAGAAACGCCAAAAGTACTGTAGACAAAGACAGGCCCTGCCATAATATTCCACTTTTAGATTGGCGGTCGCCGAGAACAGCGGAAAGGAATAGTGCAATGATGACAAAAGCGGTCGCCGGAATATCTACATTAACAAGCGATTTTCGCAGCAATCTTCCGTTTTAGTTCAGTTCGGCCTTGTGATTAATGGAATAAATGGAACTGAAATGGATTACGCCGAGCGTAAGACCAAAGGCACTTACAAGACAGCAGAACGCTTCATCTTTAAAAACCACAAATTCCGAAAATCGAGCAACCCGATAAATCGTAAAATCTGTTCCGGAAAAGCCATATCCGGCAGGGGACCCCGAAGGCTAATGGATGAAAGTGATCTGCAGAATGTCTGTCATTCTATACGTTTGCCCATCTAATTGAAGGGTCCATATGCCGATTGAGTGAGAGAGAGAGAGACAGAGAGAGCGAGAGTATTCCATTCCCCCCATAGCAGCGGATGCCATGTTTGGAACGGAGGGAGCGGATGGCAAGGATTATTCGGAACGGAGGGATGAGAGTGGAACTGCTGCTAGCTGTAAACTATGTCCCCAAAGCTGAATTTCCTAACCTTAGAAAAAATAGAAAGAAGAAGGTCTTGTATAAAAAGTAAGGTAGAAGATGCCGTATTAAAAAGCAATGCCAATCTACAAAAATCTGGCGAAAAACGCGCCAAAGATGGGGCGGCTATATGCTTGATGATGGGGGCTAGGGTGTAGCAATGGTGGGCCCTATGGGGTGGGCCCTGTGGGGTGGGGGACCCGGAGAGGGCCCATGGGGTGATTATATTGGTGTATAGAGGGTATGGAGGAAGGAAGGGACGGAAGGGAAGGCCCATAGAGGGCCCACTCTCTCCCCCTACTTGCCCTCAACACCATCGATCCCGCTTCCTTTTGGCTTTAGGGGAAAGGGAAGGGAGGGATGGGCACCATATATATGAGAACAACGAGAAGAGGTTCAAAGGGGGAAGCAACCGGCCTAGAGGGTAACGTTTAGAAGCTCTCTAGTAGGAGAGACGTCGAAATTAGCTGCAGTAAATATTGCGACTATTTTTGTAGCCGCGGCGAATTGGTATACCCGGCAAATCACGCAAAATTTTGACATATACCCCCTAATGAAAAAATTGACGCGACGGCAAAATATACCCCAAAATAGGAACAATCTACGTACCGCTTTCCTTCTCGATTCCTTGCTTCTCCTTTCATCTCCCCTCTCCATCGTCGGTCCCTCATTTCCGGCAATAGATTTCGTGGTCGACTGGGGCTCATTCTTTCCTTCTTTCACCCTCCACCATCCTTCATCAACCTCTGACGGGGGCAGACCGCTTCTGGAAATTGCAAGCATGGCCGGGAAAAGTCTGTCGAAGGAAAAGCCGAAACGAAGGAACGCTTCATTCCCATTCAACAATTTCAAGAGCCTTCCATCGTCCACAAATTCTCATAAAACTGTTTGTCTGTCCGTCAATCGCGTTCGAGGTTTGTTGGTAGCACAAGTGTTCATAGATAGATTTACTTGACACGAAAAAGACCAAGTTTCCGGGGGTGAAAGAAGACATCTGGGAACGTGGAGTGGCAAATAGGATGGGTAATATCAATACGTGAAAAGGAAACACCGACCATTCGTTCAAATATGCCCCAGGGCCAGCAAAATGACAATACATTAGCGAGAGTAGGAGGAGGATAGAGCCGAGCCGAACACGTTCGGAATGTATTTTTAATTGGTGGGGATACGGTCTAGAGCCTGTATGAATTTGTGATTTTCAGTGTGACGGTCCAAGACAAAAGGAATTGGCGGTTAGGCGGCAGAAATGGAGTCCAAAAAGGCACTGGTGTTTTTTTGATAGGGTGTCAGACGGGTTGCGTGTAAGATGTCTGTCTGTGGATTGGCCGATGATAGCTAT